CTCCTATTCCCTTAATTGGAACATTTTCCCCATTAGCAATCTCAACATTTCCTATTGTTGGTTTTATGTTGCTAATTAAGCTTAAATCACTAATCATGTGATGAGAAGCCCCTGAATCAACTATTAATGGCTTATTCTTAAGTGTATGTGAAGAACTATAAGAATTACCCATATTTTGAATCACATGAAGAGAGGTACCAAGAGTGTTACCAGACTCCTTAAACGCTTTGATCAGGGCATCCAAGTCTGATCTTGTCACGAATTGAGATGAGTTTGCTGCTCCTTCTCCAGGGGTATTCTTAGAGCTTTCGCCTTTGTGAGCCACCTCTTCTGAAGCGATCCTAGCCTTTCCCTCCTTCCATTTCGGTTTTAGGTGAGGATGGAGACTCCAGCAAACTTCTTTGGTATTGCCCTTTCTCTTGCAATGATCACAAAATGAGTTTCTCTTCTCATCAAACTTGTAGGCTCCTTTGTTGGCTGAGATCAGTTCTCCTTTTCCTCCAAATAGGCCGAGTGATCCTTGCTCCTTTTGGATTTGGGAACAGACTTCTTCAAGCGTTGGTAGCCTTTCTGCTCTGAGAAGGTGTTTGATGAGATCATTGTAGGTTGAGTTGAGAGTCAAAAGCAGCTCAAAGACCTTGTCTTGCTCCCTTCTTTCATTTAAAATTTGTGGGTCCACAGTACTTGGCCTTAGCATTTCCAGCTCAGCCCATAGTGCTCTGAACTTTCCAAAGTGTTTGGTAAACTCCACATCTTCTTGCCTTAGCTCATTGATAGCTTTCTTGACTTCAAAGACACGGCTGAGATTAGAGATGTTGCCGAATACTTGCTTCAGGGTCTCCCATAGCTCTTTGGCGGTTTCACAGTATGAGTAAGCCTCCAAGATTTCAGTGCTAAGGGAGCTTTGTAGGAGAGCAAGGACGGTCTGATCTTCCTTGTACCAATGGGTCTCTTCTGCTGGGACAATGGCGGCTCCGGCGGCTGGTGGTGCTGCTATGGGAGCGTCGCTTGATACATGTCTCCAAAGACCTCTTCCACACAAGGCGGTTCTTGTGGTTCTTGACCACAGTAGATAGTTCACTCCTTTGAATGTAACTGGTAAAGCCAATGGCTTATTGTTCTCCATGGCCATGAAATTTATTCTATGGACCTATGAGTAAAGATATGGACCGTTGGGTAAACGGTTTTAGAAATGAGGTATGGGTGATTTAGAGGATAATCGAATGAGGATATAGGTGATTAGAGGGGTTTAGAGTGATTTTGGAGTTTAGAAGACCGTTTAAGAGATTTTAAAAGAGATAAAGAGAGTAAGGACCGCTGGGTAAAGATTTTGAGAATTTTCTGTAAACTGAAAGAGAGACAGCGAATAGAGAAGAAGCAAAATGAGAGAGGATGAGAATCAGAGTTTGTGATCCAAAGATCTACACAACTCGCTCTGATACCATGTTAGAATTTGCGGAATGATACTTAGAGAAATGAGTGAAGAACATAACAGAGAGGAGAGAATGAGTTAAGGATGATTATATTTCCTTAAGTTAAACCTTACACATGAGGCGAAGATGCCTACTTATAGATGGGTTCGGTTACTACACATAACAAAGCAACAATGACATAAAGAATAAACAAAGAAGGTGATCCCAAGGGAGTGAAAGTGACAGGTCCTAACGGTTGCTCCTTATCTCACACATGTGACCTTATCTTCTTCTTAATATGACCGTTGGAGTAGAAACAAGAAATCAAGTATCTTGACTTCTCCTTAGCTTATTCGTCACTCCTCCTTATCTTGTGCTCCAAGACTACTAGATGATCATTCTTGAGCAGCACGGTTCCATAGGTGTGTGTACGGACCTGTACGGACATGATCCTTCCTCCTTCTAGTTTGATAGATAGATTATTCTCTGGTGAAATATAGCGACTCACCCACCGGGACGTGATTATTCAGGTAACCTCCTTCGGTCAGTTGTGTACGTGATTTCTCACGTTTTTGCAATATTAATTTTGACTCCAAATCTTTAGTCAAATCTTTTTCGGGTGATTTGCCGTTGTTTCAATCGATAGTGGGAAGTGATTTCCCATTTGGATTGTTTTTCAATCTTGGATTTTCCCAAAAATATCACCTAAGTGTCAAAATATTAGCTCTTGAAACCAGATCTTCAACAATTCAAACAAAATCTTAGATCTCCAAACCAGATCTTCACATGCATATATGCACATCCGCTCCAATGGTTAGCTAGATAAGCTTTGGGATCTCGACTCTTCCGGACAGGTAACTTCATTATAAACCCGGGTAGCCATGTATATTACGTTATAGATCTCCAACAATGTAATCAGATACCCGAATATATGGATGTCTAAGTTTGAGTGTGTGGCCTTATAAATCAGTATGCGGGTGTCTTTTTGTAGGTGGCCATGACTTCAATAATCGAAGGCGAATTCGATGGAACCCCCCAAAGTGCCTTCACATGGGCCGATGAAGTAGATGACCCCAAGGTGGATCACATGGAGATGCTATCTTCACCTTGCAGTCTTATTTGTTCTTGAATACACGCCCCGAATACAGTTCATCTCCCTTATATGCCACATCCAATATGACATTCTCTGTTTGATTCAATCCTGAGAAAATTCGTCCATCAAATACATTAGATGTCTTTAACTTTTATTACTCTTCAATGTAATGTTCTCTTAGCAGCCATTCAGATAATCGTCCATCATATTTAATAACACTTCACTAATATTAATAGACAGCTATATAGCCTCATATACTAACATATATTATAGTTATAGGAGCAACATAAAATCTATGAAAGAAAATATCACACTATAATATAATTTACGGGCATATGATCCGCTGAATAAATAAAACAATATATAGAACAACATAACTTTTGGAGACGAATATAGCACTCCATTAATGTTAATAGACATCTACAATACACTTATATCATTACAAATCTCCATCATTTTCAAATAACCCGTTACAAGTTTATATTTGGCTCCCACCAAGTTTATATCCATCCAGCAATACAAATCGCCACACCCCCCTGCATCTTTCATCCACCACCCCTGTTCTGCCCGCACCAGATCGCTGAGGTCTTTCCATAGTTGCACCATTGTTGATAACCCCTAACAATGTCAGTTTTACGAGAATGTTGTTATTAATAACAACAACACTTCAAATTAATACATAGATATTCATAAACGACATGCTCGGATTCAGAATATACGTTTATCTGATTAATTCGATTGTAGCGCTATATAAAATTAGAAGCAGGAAACTAATATTTATGGACACTCCACAAACCTAGGTGTACCCAGATATTTTCATTTTCTCACCTTGTTCCTCAAAAATTCTTGTTGTAGCATTATTAATCGCATTAACTAGCCATCATCTCATACTATTTTATGTATACGTCAGGCGGCGACGAAACTATCTTGTCTCTTCATTTAATGTCCCGGTTATCTGATTCATCTTGCTAATATCTTGCCCAAATTAATTCAATTGTTCTAGACATATTTAGGTTAATAGTTAGAACCACATGTAATCTATGGCACTCCGCGTAATTAGATGAACTTGGTTTTTTTTTTTGGCATCTTTTAACTATTTCCTTTTAGCGTATGAATGATTTGTTGTTTTGCTAATTATGTACTCAAATTTAGTCATCTACTTTTTCTCCCTAATATTATAAGACCAAAAGATATCGCTGGACAATATAAATGCTAGATCTACTATATAGCGTAGTCGCATGGAAAAGTCGGTTTATGTTATATGAAAAAGTACGAAAATGAACTTAATTGAATATCATTGCTACACACTTTTATTTCTGGAAGCTCTTTTTCGTGAAATTCAGGGCTAAATATGTTTTGAGCCAATGATAATTCTGACATGACTGAGTGACTTTATGAAAAGTTATTTTCAATACATGTGAGTACACATACAGACATAACTTATTAACTTGTGTTAATTAGTTAATCTACAAGGAGACTAGTCAGATAACAAAAATCATTGCAAGCTTTATGATTAACGAAATTCGTAATTAACCGATGATAAAATCCACAAACCAAAATACTAGGGCCCACAGAAGAAATTGTCTATACAATCCCAAGATAGTATGATAAGAATCTTGAATGTAATTTTGTATTTTCTTTTGTTCAATTTGGTGTTCTTTTCTTTGGTTTTAGTTAAGTGTTTTTGGGGTATTTGTCATTCAAGTTTTGTACCGTTGACGTTCCTTCAGTATGAGTAAACTAACATTGGACTCATTTCCATAACATACTGTAGGTGTTTAATGTTTATTATCACCAGGATTTTTTTAAAATAATCTATAACATAATAATTTTTTTTTATCGGTCAATACTCTGATTAGTAAATTATGGTCCTACGCCATGGATATAGTTTCCATTTCCATGTGCATTTCTATAATGTTTTTAGATTTCTAATCAGTGTCAATATTAATCTTATATGATGGTCAACGAAACCAGAAAAGAAAAAATACATAACAAATTTGAAGTATCCATCAAAATGCTAATATAAATTCCACACGTTTACTGTATAATCAGAAAACAGAATAGTATGGTTGTCAAGATTGGTCCCGCTTAATTAACCCATTTTATTCTTCAAGTTGCTCGTAACTTAATCGAAGATATTATTACACAATACGTCATTGTAATATAGCAGCGCCATATATTACAAATGACGTCATTGTTATTTTCTTTGATATAGAAAATATAAAAGGAAAGAAAACAAAAAAGAAAAGAAATGATTCACAAAATCGCAAGGTAAGCCAAATTTTGAATATTTAATGGTTTAGTAGCAGATAAGAACTTTGCTTCAAAGCGGCAACGCAAATTAATTGCGAAGCTTTTCTCGCGCCCGCCATCATCGAACCTCTTTCTCTCCTCTAACCAAATTTCCCGATGTGAAAAAACAAGCTTCCGATTAACTCAACCACCGTATCGTCTCCTCTCTCTCTCTCCCTATCTCTCCGGCCAAACCCACCAACATGTCCCCGGCGTCGCGGATTTTCGGCTTCTTCTCCCTCCTCGTTTTCTGTCTGTTCTCCTTCGTTTCATCCGACGATCTCCAAGTCTTACTCAAGACCAAATCATCTATCCTGGATTCGAATCCCGGCGTTTTAGATTCCTGGAAGCTCAACTCCAGTCCATGTGGCTTCGCCGGAATAACCTGCGATTCTAGAGGCTCCGTTACGGAGATTGATCTCTCGCATCGCGGTTTATATGGGAAATTTCCGTTCGATTCGGTGTGCGAGCTCCAGAGTCTTGAGAAACTCTCACTCGGATTCAATTCACTGTCTGGAACAGTCCCCAGTGATTGGAAGAACTGCACGAGTCTCAAGTATTTGGATCTCGGGAACAATTTGTTCTCTGGTCCTTTCCCTGAGTTCTCTTCTCTAACCCAGTTACAGTACCTCTATTTGAACAGCAGCGCGTTTTCCGGCGTCTTTCCGTGGAAATCGCTGCAAAACGCGACGCAACTCGTCGTTTTGAGCCTCGGTGACAATCCGTTCGATACGGCGCCGTTTCCTGAGGAGGTTGTTTCTCTGACGAAGCTCTCGTGGCTCTATCTGTCCAACTGCAGCTTGACGGGGAAAATCCCTCCGGCGATCGGAGACTTGACGGAGCTTCAGAACTTGGAGATTTCCGACAGCGGTCTCACCGGAGAGATTCCTCCGGGGATCGTGAAACTCAGCAAACTCTGGCAGTTAGAGATCTACAACAACTCATTGACTGGAAAATTTCCTCCCGGGTTCGGAAACTTGAAGAACCTGACTCGCTTGGATGCTTCCGCAAATTCTCTAGAAGGCGATTTATCGGAGCTCAGGTTTTTGACCAACCTCGTTTCCCTACAACTGTTCGAAAACAAATTCTCCGGTGAGATTCCGCCGGAGTTCGGAGAATTCAAGGATCTCGTCAATCTCTCTCTGTACACAAACAATTTAACCGGTCCTCTGCCTCAAGGACTCGGTTCTCTCGCCAATTTCGATTTCATCGATGCATCCGAAAATCATCTAACCGGACCGATCCCTCCAGACATGTGCAAAAGCGGGAAGATGAAAGCTCTTCTTCTCCTGCAGAACAATCTCACAGGCTCTATCCCGGAGTCTTACGCCAACTGTTTGACTCTGGAACGTTTCAGAGTTAGCGACAACTCGCTCAACGGAACAGTTCCCGCCGGACTTTGGGGATTACCGGAGCTCGATATAATCGACTTAGCCATGAACAACTTCGAAGGCCCGGTCACCGCTGATATTAAAAACGCGAAAAAGCTGGGAACGTTGTATCTAGGGTTCAACAAGTTTTCCGATGAGCTGCCTGAGGAGATAGGTCACACGGAATCTCTGACTAAGGTCGAGCTTAACGATAACCGGTTTTCCGGGAGGATTCCAAGCTCTATCGGTAAACTGAAGGGACTTAGCAGTCTAAAGATGCAGAGCAATGGCTTCTCCGGTAACATACCTGACTCGATCGGGTCGTGTTCGATGCTCAGCGATCTCAACATGGCTCAAAACTCGCTATCCGGCGAGATCCCGCACACGCTTGGATCCCTTCCGACGCTCAACGCTTTGAATCTTTCGGACAATAAGCTGTCTGGAAGAATCCCGGAGAGTTTGTCGTCTTTAAAACTTAGCCTGCTTGATCTGTCAAACAACAGATTATCAGGCCGTGTCCCTCTGAGTTTGTCATCATATACCGGTAGCTTCAATGGCAATCCTGGACTCTGCAGCACGACGATCAAATCGTTTAACCGGTGCATAAATACTTCAGGACCTCATCGAGACACTCGCATCTTCGTGTTGTGCATAGTTTTTGGTTCACTGATCTTGCTTGCGTCTCTTGTGTTTTTCTTGTACCTGAAGAAAAGCGAGAAGAAGGAAAGTCGAACGCTGAGACACGAATCTTGGAGTATAAAGTCGTTCCGAAGGATGACTTTCACTGAAGATGATATCATCGATTCGATCAAAGAAGAGAACTTGATCGGTAGAGGAGGTTGTGGCGATGTGTACAGAGTAGTACTCGGTGATGGTAAAGAACTCGCTGTCAAACACATTCGGAGTAATAGTACAGACAGTTTCACTCAGAAGAATTTCAGCAGTGCGATGCCGATTCTCACTGAAAAGGAAGGAAGATCCAAAGAGTTTGAAACAGAGGTGCAAACGCTAAGCTCGATACGGCACTTGAACGTGGTGAAACTCTATTGCAGCATCACGAGCGATGACTCGAGCTTGCTTGTGTACGAGTACTTGCCTAATGGGAGCTTATGGGACATGCTTCACTCGTGCAAGAAGTCGAATCTCGGTTGGGAAACACGGTATGACATTGCTCTTGGTTCAGCGAAAGGGCTCGAGTACTTGCATCACGGGTACGAGAGACCCGTGATTCACCGTGACGTTAAATCAAGTAACATTCTGCTAGATGAGTTCTTCAAGCCTAGGATTGCGGATTTCGGTCTCGCCAAGATTCTTCAGGCTAACAATGGCGGTCTGGATTCCACTCATGTCGTTGCGGGAACGTACGGCTACATAGCTCCAGGTAAAGAGACTTAAATTCTTATTGATCAGCTTGTTATGGTCCTATATATTTTTAATGTTGCGATTTTAACGTCAAAACCGTTTTTTTGGGAATTCTTGTTGCAGAGTATGGATACTCGTCGAAAGTGAATGAGAAATGCGATGTGTATAGCTTCGGAGTTGTGTTAATGGAGCTTGTCACGGGGAAAAAACCGATAGAGGCGGAGTTTGGAGAGAGCAAAGACATAGTGAATTGGGTGAGTAACAATCTGAAGAGCAAAGAGAGTGTTATGGAGATAGTGGACAAGAAGGTAGGAGAAATGTATAGAGAAGATGCAATCAAGATACTGAGGGTTGCAATCCTCTGCACCGCAAGACTGCCTGGACTAAGGCCGACGATGAGGAGCGTGGTTCAGATGATCGAGGATGCGGAACCTTGCAGATTGATGGGGATTGTGATTAGTAAAGAGAGTGATTTGAAGATCAAAGAAATAAGTTAATGATTTGAGAACCAAATCTCCCTCTTTTGTCTGTTTTTTGGTAACGATGAAAACTTAGAGGAAGGACTAATGTGGATCAGCTAAATTGGGTACTACGCAAGGGTTTAGTTGGGAGAATGTGATTCTAGTCCTGGTTATAAAATCTTAGATGATGTAATGATTATCTGATGTAAACTATTTCTTGTAATTGTAGAATTTTGGTTTTAAGTTTTCCGACTTGTTGATGAAGGTCAACAGTCAACTACTGGTAAAAATTTATTGCGGCTAAAAATAAATGTATATTAGACTGGTAAAACTATGACTCTTACAATCAATTAGTTCGCGGTGAGATGTTATGAGATTTATTTAAGAGGGATGTTAAAGTGCGTTTGTTGTTTTCCGTAACTGAGAAAAGCTTATACACGTGATGTACTCGATAATATTTTTGTGAATAATATGTTAAAGTCGAAGACAAAAATTCTCAAAACGAAACCAAAGCCAAATTGGATTCGTGCCGCGATGAAATGAATATTATTATTATTATTGTAAATCTAAGAGTAATATGTTGATCAAATGTACGTGTGCTCAAAACTTGTAGTTGCCGACTTTGACCAACACAAAATTTAAAGAATGATAAAAGAAACCTCCACATTAATAATGCTTCACAAGCAGACAATAATGCTTATCTTCACTGTTTCGAATGATATCAAAAGCTTCTATTTTTAAAAAACTCAAAGTGGGTGTATTAGATGGAGAAAACACTCATTAAAAGATAATATAGTAAACAATCTCTAGTTATCTCTCGTTAACGTAGTCTAGAAACAAGTGATTACATGTGCATTTGCACAATACCCGTAATGATATTCACAAAATAATATATATTTCAACGTTAATGCAGGCAAACATCATCATTGCTATTGTCACACAGCTAAAATACATATTGATAAGAAACTAATTCACCATACCTAACATATTGCCATTTAACAAATGAAAAGCTAATTCATCTATTTGTTCCCTTGCTTTGCAATTCAATCCAAAGAATGCATCAATCTAATGCGCCAGATCATCATTAAGATTAACGATCCAGAGATATTCTAGAAGCTTAAGTCCGTACAAAGACCAGAGTTGTGGTAACATACAAAATAACAGCTTCTGCTGCAGAGTACACACCCGACTACGTGAACACAAAACTAACCAAAGAATTATCCTACAATATACAACAGTTTCTTGTATCTTCCTCTATCTCAAAGAGAAAAAAAAAGTTTATCCGTAAGCAAGATTTGTTAGCGGAATAGATCTTGGAATGACCACATTATGAATCTAGCAAAGATGTCAGACTCCAAGAACTCGATGTGAGCAGCGCGACCGATGAATGAGTTGAGGTTCCGACCATACAAGGTCGTGTCGAAGTTGACGTCGCAGCGCATGAACACTCTCTGGTGGTGAGGAGTTTCAGGCGACGGCCCACGTATTTGGTCCATACAGTTATTAAGCATCTCCAAGAAAGCGACGCCTCTTTTTGAGTTGTCGAATGAAGCTGGTTGGCACGACTCGATCCGAGCTGAGTGATATGGAACATACCCATCCTGTGATCACAAAACATATATCGTAACTATGATCAAATCTGGCAATCGTCTGATCAAAATATCCTTGTTGCATTAGTAACTAATGTATTCTGAAAGTATAATGGAAAATGTACCTGAGGCGAGGACAGGAGAATTATATTCTTGAAACTGTTCAACGTCTTTTGCTGAAAAAAAGGTATTTCGAAACCAACTTTAGAATCAGAGAACTGATATTTGTTTACAACTGTGGTACAAAATCTTGATGAAACGTTGAGATCTTTCTCTACCTTGCAGAGCTTGTAAAAGAAAGTATTCTGGAGATCAGGATCATCTGTGAGCGTAAGCTGATGAATAACCTGAGTACTCTTTAACTTCTTCAGGAGCCAAAGTCCAGAATTAAACAAGGAATTTGAACTGTATAGATAACCCAGGTGTGGACCCGAAAGCGATAGATATGTATGTAGATATTTCCTGTATGGTTCCATCAAACTATCTGCAACAAATATACACAAGTAAGAGATAATGATGAACACCAAGACAGAACAAAGTACTTTTAGGGGAATTATCGAGATTCTAAGAACATTACCTGCTAGAGCACTTCTGATGATGACATTGCCTATTGAGTGTCCAACAAAACTCAGCTTCACGTTTTTTAAGCGACCGTATCTCGAATGTTTATCCATTTTCCTCTTGAAGAAAGAAACAACTTCTTGCGCAAGCCTCTGCCCCATTTCCCTGAAATCCCCATGTGTTTTCTCCTCGTTTGCCTCAGACATGAGAAATTCTATCTTTGGATCAATCAGGAGCCACTGATTCCGGACAAGCCTTAGGTCTAAGTGATGCCCCTGTATAGTTAACAAAAATGTATCAAGTAAATGAACATCAAAATGAAGATAATGTACAAAAGTAAAACAGAATAAACAAAGCAACTTGAACATATGGACATTGTGCCGATGAACACAATGATTTGAGGACGATATATTACTAAATCAGTTTGAGAGAGAGAAAGTAAATAAGAATTCACTGAAATTCTAGTAGATACTTGCCTGAAAACCATGAACAAAAACAACTATCTTTAGCTCACGCCCACTCTGCTGTGAGTTATTATGCTTTCTTGTCCCACTCTCCTCATCATTCCCATTAAGTAAGCTAGAATCGATTTTGTCAACATGTCTCATGTACGAATTATCACTGAAAGTACGCCGTGGTGCATTCCACACACGTTCAATGATAACAATAGGAACTCGCATAGGATCGCCAAATATATGCATGTCTTGTACGGCCCGATTGTTAATCTGTACCATTAGTAGTCACAAATAAAACTTTAGACTTCTGAACCCAACTGGTAACTGAGCAACGAAAAAAATAGTACAAACCCGCATTTGTGCAATGCTTCGACGGTGAAGTTCAGCGCGGGTAGCTGCAACTTGTGCAGGCTGCATAAGGCCAGAAACTGGACGATTAGTGTCGAGCTGGCATTCCGATGAAATTTGGAAAACAGACTCTGTAACTATAACTCACATCATTCAACGCACTTGTGGCTCTTTTGTGCGAACTATGGTTTGAAGTATCATCCATTCCACTTATAAAATGATGTGGCATTTCAACCTTGGAGTACACCATCCATATTGACCACTCAGCTCTTCGATCCTTTGTCCAGATATCACGAAGATAATCCAACGTTTTTGAGTTATTGTCACTGAAAAGGACATATATGATCAAGGATCATGATATATATAGGTTCGCTTTCAGAAGATAACTTAATAAATCATCTGAACCTGCAGGCCTAAGTCCAAGGGAAATTACCGATGAAATGTCAGAAAGATATTCCAAAGATATTGGAGCTGGGTGCCCAGTAGGTGGAATGTGCGCGATAGGTGCTCCTTAGAGAAGTTACGAAGCCAGTCGTCACTTTCTAAATCAAATTGGCCATTCAACTTCTGTGCCAAAAATGCAGAAACAGTCTCATATTCCAGAACATGGTGAAACAAGATAGTATATAAAGAACAATCTGCTGCAAAATAAAGCAAGGACCTCAAGATTCTTTTGTTGCCTGCCTTGTCCTGAATCTTCAACTTCAACAGATGTTCCAGTCGAAGCAGAGTCAGACAAAAAAGCATTGTCCATACTGGCTACAAACTCAGACAAGTCGATTGTTTGACCAACTGCCTTGCTAAGTCTTTGCATTTCTTCAAGCAAAGTGTCACGAGCTCCAAGTAAGGCTTTAACAAATGACACCAGCTTCTTGTCAGCAGAAGCAATCTGAGCAAAGGCCTAGTGAATTACAAAACAATTAATAAATTTATTGCAAACATATATAGAAAGAGGGGTACTACTACAAAACAGGATAGCTTAATAATTTTTTTGTTAAATCATGCAACTTTGCAACATTTTCTTAGCTGACTAAAGAGTTGGCAATCCATTTCTACAAAACAGAGAGATTAGTGGTTCTGTAAAGCCATAATTTTTCCAGCTGTTATACAAACAATGTCAACAAGACTGAAAAACCTGATGCGCTTTTATAGGACTTATATAAGCAAGTACTACAGCATAAAGCTCATATTCTTAAGAAAAAACGATTATTTATGAAGACAATGATAGGATCATCTGTAGAGACTCTGAATGAGCGTAAAGCAAAAAATCAATTTGCTGAATCATACAAGAGTTTGCAATGATGAGAGGATAGTGCAAGAGCACTTACTTTCTTGGAAGACTGAACATTGCCGCTGGCCAAATTTTTACCATTACTCGTGTCACTGCACCAAACAAATTGATATAGAAAACTCAGCAAAATTGGAATTCAACAATCGTCAAATTTGCAGACTCCAAGTGTTAATAGAACATACCTTGACAAAATTGCAGGCCTTTTGTACGCAGCGGATTTCATGACACTGACGTGGAGACTTACATCGATAAGAACTGCGTGAAAGGTATCAAAGTGCACCGGACAGTAAGAATGCACACCTGAGAGAGCTTTAGGAGGAATACGAAAATCATGCACAGCTGCAGGACAAGCATCTGAATGAGTCACTGATATATTCTCCATAATTGGAGAATATAAAAGCTCAAATCTCAATATAACAGCAGATGAAGCTGACCCCTGCATGCATCATTCACAACTAGTCATTTACTATACGATAATGGCTTCTACTTCTAGGTCAACCAAAGTACACCATTTATCACAAATTCTATTATTGTTTTTGCTGACCATGATCAACGAAATCAGCAGCTAAAATAACCTCACGAACTCAATGCAGTAAAATCCTTTGCATCTCAGCAAGAGTAAGAAAGAAAAGTTCTTTTATCATTTTATTTGTTCATACTAGAAGGAAGGTACCTAGGAAAAAAAAGGAAAGAAGGCCTGGTACCTCATATCTCTCCAGTGGCATAGTAAACGAGACCATCATGCATAGCCGAACATCCTGCCTTGCATATTTTATGCGAAAGGGCTGCGTTAAGAAACTATTATCTTGATCATCTATCTTCCACACTCCACATGAGTCGTTTGAGCTAGTATCAAGAGCTGTGACACAAAGGTATATTGATTCTTTATAAGTGAATTACACCAAAAAACATAAAATGCAGGAAACACTCAAGCGTTATGGAATAGTGCACTCAGTCTCACGAACTGATGGACAAGATTACCTTCATACTGAACAACTCGCGAGGGAATTCCACAGGAGTTGTTATCACCATCCTCCCATCTCATGCTGATCTTGATTTGATACCATCTAAAAAGAAGTGAAGATTTAGAGACACAAGAGAAGATTGATTCAATTTACTCAAAAGCTAAAAAAGTGGCAACGGTTGGTCATACCCTTGCTGGAAAAGATCAAGGTTATGAAACCTATGGATATAAATAGAAATTTCCTGAACTGTGTCGACCATTAGCACCGGCTTAACCCTGGCTACGTAAGGCTCAGCATCAAGCGTCTTTGTTTGCCTACTTCTTTGGCTCAGTCCAATTAACCATCCCAGACGCCGTAACATATGGAGGAACTCACATCACCTTCTAAAACTTTGGATGTGTGTTTTCAGGATAATGATATCCTGAACCAGTAGGACCGATTCTTCGAAATCTCATCCTCTACATAACCAAATGCAAACTCATTTTGCTGTTTATATGTTCACCAAAGCGAAAACCACTTCAGCAGCTGCAGATAAAGCAAAAACACAAACAAAATCGTGATTTAGTAACACTAATAGAGTCGACAAAAACTCATCTCATAAGCAATCATCAACAAATTAGCCCAGAGATTTTAGATTGTAGATATCTTTGTTTGAACATTGCAGCAAGAAATCTTAATAAACGAATTTCAGTTTAGCAAATTACAGCTACTAAAGAGTCGTCCCCGACTCCAAACAAGGTCAAAAGCTAAAATCCAATCTGAGCCAGTGGGTTGCAAAGCGAACGATTCGTAATGGAATTTCGAAAACCGAGAGAGAGAGAGAGAGAGAAGGAGAGAGCAACTACATTTCCCTAAATACGAAAGAAGCCAGACAGATACAGTCTTCAGAGATCGAGATTATGAGAATATTTAGCGAAAAATGGGCAAAAGAAGAAAAATCACCACAACTACATTACCTCGAAATGGACAAAAAAAAAATCCAATGGCAAAGAAAAAAAAAGGTGTGGGGGCTTGAAACTTAGATCTGACGATAGAGATAGATGAAACCCAGATTCGCTAGGGTTTTCTTTTTCAGGACGACAGACAAACACTGAGCAGAAGAAAACAGGGGGCAAAAAAAGGATCTGGGAAAGTTACAGATGATGGTAGGGAATAAAAGAAAAAAGAAAAGGCTATCGAGGGACGACACAAAATGGATTTTTGAAACTTTTTAAAACAAAGTTTTTAGTCAGATTTGATTATTTTTTGTCGGGCAAAGGATGAATGTTCATGCGACGACACCATTTCCTATGTGTTTCTTTTTGGCTCTATATGTTTATTTTCATTTCGGGTTTTGCTTTTTCTTTTCTTCTTTTTGCGCCAAATCGAAGTTGTATTTTCGTCAAATGGATCCTGACCCGCAATTTTTACTGGCCTTTCGACAGTCGATTTATTTGGTCGTTTGTAAGGCCCAATTAAAGACTTCTCTTTTGAGGCAAGGCCCAAAACGACGCAGCCTTTTAATATTCAGGTGAAAGGTTACAAAGAAATAAAGGTCTCTCGATCCAATAAAAAATATAAGGGTAAATAAGTGAAAAGAACATTTCAAAATTGTTTGGTCAAAATCTATCTTTTTTTTTTTGATCAAAGGTCAAAATCTATTATCTTACATTACTACCAGATAAAATTAATTGTGAAAAAGTTTACCAATTTTGGATTAAGAATAAAATAAAACTACAAGACTAGAACTGTAAATGGTACAATTGGGAAAAAATGATATAGATAAGATTTTTTTTTGAATGGATATAGATAAGATTACTACTAAATCTCGAATGATTGTAATATTAATGGTAGTTTAATTTGGTATTTCACTCTTTTTTCTTGGTCAATCTTTCACATTTTACTTTAATATCATACTAGAAAAACTATTTTTAACTCCATTTTTCTTTTGTAAACTTTTCATCAAACCGGATATAATGTTTTCATTAACTTAACAGAAATCGCAATAGATAACAATTCAATTACAATCACTGAGCAAATGGCAATGGCGACTTTTGTCATGATAATTAAGAAAAATTAATGAGTTGAAATATGTTTTAGACGTTTTATTTTTGATGGTTTAAACATTGTGCGATGTTTTTTTCGTTTAAATACGAAATAGCTCACACACACACATTAATATCATTTTAAAAGTTGAGGAAATTTATTATGATTCACCTAATTTCAGTTATCCACATTACATTTCTGTTGTTAATATTAATAAACTTGCACCTGAAAACAATTCAAAAGGAACTAGTAAAGGTTTCCAAGATAATTAATAGCGAATCAAAATTTTAAGAGAAATAAATCCAAATAAATCTTCAAAATTAAGATTCTGTCAAAAAAAAAACATAAAGATTCATTGTACAGAAATGCTCTTTCCATATAAACATTGATACAGTCGTCAAAAAAAAAATATATAAACATTGATACTTGTGTATAAGTGTTACATGTGTGTGTGTGTAGTACTCTAAGAAGACCTCTGTGATTTACACTTTCTCCTCTCTTTCCTCTGTTCTGACTTTTACCCTTTCACAATGATGACAAGCTCGCCCCCGGCGGTTGAGTCCGGTGATGCCGCCGTGAAGATCGTCGACGACGATGGTCGGGAGCAGAGAACGGGGACGTTTATGACGGCAAGCGCGCACATAATCACGGCAGTGATAGGCTCCGGAGTGTTGTCGTTGGCTTGGGCACTAGCACAACTTGGTTGGGTGGCAGGAACCGTAATTTTGGTGATTTTCGCTATCGTCACTTACTACACATCCACTATGCTCGCCGATTGTTACAGATCGCCGGACGCCGTCACCGGAACTCGCAATTACACTTACATGGGCGTCGTCCGAGCTTACCTTGGTATGCATTTAATTAATATATTTTTTTTAATCCATTATTGTTATTCTTTATCAGAATTTTTTTTTCACAGACTTTTCGGTTTTTGCATACAACTATATATATATGATGAACAACGATTAAATCTTATTTGACACTATTACATTTTCTTAAAAATGAATGATTCCTGTGAAGTTTTTTTTGATTTTTGATTGAAGTTAGGATGATACAATGGAAAAAAATAAGATTAAAGTGATGTTTTTTTTTTGAAAAAGGATTAAAGTAATGTTCATCAACAATATTTAGTATTTGCAAATTTGTTAAAGAATAAGAGTATGATTCCTTTTATACATTGTGCATGCTTTTCTTGGGAAAATATGAAATAAATTAATCATCAAAATCTAAGAAAATGGTCGAAGAAGAAAAATGGAATTGTTCTTCTTTCCAAAATTAGTTAATAAATTAGATTGACTAAAATGTGTAGGATTAACTTCTCGTTAAAGGATTTCAATTATCAATAAATTTGACTGTTGACCTCCCAAATTAGGAAATCGAATTGAAATGTGAGATGAATTCAATCTTATCCATAAATAATTAAATCCTGTATTTGTAAGATTTATGTTATTACTGCTGATAGAGAAAAAGAGCAGAATTTTGTAATGATTAATAAAGAGAAATAACTAATTTTTATTTTATTTTTGTTATAAAATAAAATGACAATAGGTGGTATAAAGGTGCCGCTATGTGGACTAGCACAGTACGTGAATCTCGTAGGGGTCGGTATTGGTTACACCATCACTGCCTCCATAAGCTTAGTGTAAGTTTTACACAACTTGTGATTCATTTCGATAATAAGTATTGGTTACTCTGACATGTTGTGAAGAAAATATAAAATTTTGATTGATGTTTTTGTCGCATAGGGCGATTGGGAAAGCAAATTGTTACCATGACAAGGGACATAATGCTAAATGTTCTGTATCAAATTATCCATACATGGCGGGATTTGGGATGGTCCAGATTGTTCTCAGTCAAATTCCTAGTTTTCATAAGCTCTCTTTCCTCTCTGTCATCGCCGCCGTTATGTCTTTCTCTTATGCTTCTATCGGAATCGGTCTGGCCATCGCCACTGTCGCAAGTACGGTTTCCTTGCTTCCTTTTCAAAATAGTAACATCATGCGTAGAACCATATCACACTATTTGAATTGTTATCAAACTAACGGTGAAAATGGTATAATATGGAAGGTGGTAAGATTGGTAAGACAGAACTGACAGGCACGGTGGTAGGAGTGGACGTAACTGCGTCTGAAAAAGTCTGGAAAGTGTTTCAAGCGGTTGGAAACATTGCGTTTTCATACGCTTTTACCACTATTCTCATTGAGATTCAGGTATGTACTGATTCCTATAGACTTTCATTTAATATTTGCATTTAAATATTAGTCACATAGTTGAAGGGTTTTTTTTTGTTGTGGTTAGAGATTACTACATAGATATGTAAAGCTCAAATATGATTATTCATTTCTTATTTGCAGGATACATTGAGATCAAGCCCACCAGAGAACAAAGCGATGAAAAAAGCAAGTCTTATTGGAGTCTCAACTACAACTGTTTTCTACCTCTTATGTGGTTGCATTGGGTATGCTGCGTTCGGAAACCAAGCCCCTGGTGACTTCCTTACCGACTTTGGTTTTTACGAACCTTACTGGCTCATCGATTTCGCCAATGCTTGCATTGCTCTCCATCTAATCGGTGCCTATCAGGTATCACTCACAAACAAAAAGAATAGGATATATCTGTAGGAAACTTATCAGTATTCTCACAATGGTCATTTAAAGAGCGGAAACAAACTTGTAGTTTTACATAAACACTCTTGTATTATCCCCCGTTTTAGCATTTTAGATTAATAAATCAAAAGATTGTAGAAGTAAACTTAGTTTGGTTATAAAACACACTTTGATTTGCTCAAATATCATTTCTACCCTTCTTAACCACTATACAATATAATTGGCAGGTGTATACTCAGCCGTTTTTCCAGTTTGTTGAAGGAAAATGCAACAAAAAGTGGCCTGAAAGCAATTTGATAAACAAGGAATACTCTACGAAAATACCATTACTTGGAAAATGTCGTGTCAACCTCTTTAGACTGGTGTGGAGGACGATCTATGTGATGATGACAACAGTTGTAGCAATGATATTCCCCTTCTTCAACGCCATCTTGGGTTTGCTCGGTGCACTTGCGTTCTGGCCGCTAACGGTTTATTTTCCAGTGTCAATGCACATTGCGCAGACAAAGGTTGAGAAGTATTCTCGCAGATGGTTGGCACTGTACCTCCTCATAGTGGTTTGCTTCATCGTCTCGTTTCTTGCTGCGCTAGGATCCATCGTCGGCCTAGTAGCTAGTGTCCAGGCATACAAGCCTTTCAAGAATTTAGACTAATTGACTCTTCATCTAAATCCTATCAGAGCAATTATTTCAAGCGACTAGTTGGTAGTTAAATTGTTTGGTCAAAATCTATCTTTTTTTTTGTGCGAAAGTCAAAATCTATATTATCTTATACTATTTCCAGATAAAATTAATTGTGAAATAAAATACGAAGTTTGAATTAAGAATAAAATAAAACTACAAGAAGATAAGACTACGTATAGAATCTTGAATGACTGTAATATTAATGATATATTAATGTTGTTATTTCACTCTTTTTTCTTGGTCAATCTTTCACATATTTCACTTTAATATTATAGAAAACTATTTTAACTCCATTTTTATTTTATTATATACTTTTCAATAAACCTGATCAAATACTTTTACTAACTTTATAGAAATTGCGATAGATAACAATTCAATTACAAAATGTATCACTGAGCAAATGGCAATAATGAATTTCGCCATAATAATTAAGAAAAATTAATGAATAGAAATATGTTTTAGACGATTTATTTTGATGGTTTAAACACTGTGGGATGTTTTTTTCGTTTATACTGTATACGAAATAGCTCACACACACATGTAAATTCACCTGATGTTAATTACTCGCATTATCATTTTAGAAGTCGAGGAAATTTATTGTGATTTACCTAATAATATCAGTTATCCACATTATATTTCTGTTATTAATAACTTACGCATGCAAACAATTCAAAACGAGCTAGTAAAGGTTTCCAAGATAATTAATAGCGAATCAAAAACTAAAAAGAAATAATTCCAATTAAATCCTCAAAACTAAGATTCTGTCAAAACAAGAAAACAAAAAACATCAAGACTCAATGTATAGAAATGCTATTTCCATATAAGCATTGATACTTAGTGTATAAGTGTTACATGTGTGTAGTTAAGAAGACCTCTGTGATTTACTCTTTCTCCTCTCTTTCCTCTGTTTTGACTTTTACCCCTTCACAATGATGACAAGCTCGCCCCCGGCGGTTGAGTCCGGTGATGCCGCCGTGAAGATCGTCGACGACGATGGTCGGGAGAAGCGAACGGGGACGTTTGTGACGGCGAGCGCGCACATAATCACGGCGGTGATAGGCTCCGGAGTGTTGTCGTTGGCTTGGGCACTAGCACAGCTTGGTTGGGTGGCAGGAACCGTAATTTTGGTGACTTTCGCCATCATCACTTACTACACATCCACTTTGCTCTCCGATTGTTACAGGTCGCCGGACGCCGTCACCGGAACGCGCAATTACACTTACATGGGCGTCGTTCGAGCTTACCTTGGTATGCATTTAATTCATATTTCTTAATTTCTTTTATCAGCACTATTTTTTTCCACGGGCTTTTCAGTTTTTGCATACAATTATGTTTGTGATGAACAACGATTATTACATTTTCTTAAAAAATGATTCTTGTGAAAGATGTTTTAGATTTTTGATTGAAGTTAGGATGATCCGGTGGAAAAATTAAGATTAAAGTAATGCTGATCAACAACTTTTAGTATATGCAAATCTGTTGAAGAACATGCGGTTCTAAAAATTCCTATGTTTTTTTTTTACTTTTTTTTTAATTTGTGCATGCTCTTATTAGGAAGATATGAAATAAATTAATGATCAAAAATCTACAAAAATGATCGAAGAAGAATTCTGAAAATGTTATTCTTTCCAAATTTAGTTAATAAATTGAATTGACTACGTGGGTTGGATTGGTGGGTTACCTGTTAAAAGATTCTAACTATCAATAAATTCGACTGTTGACCTCCCAAACTGTAGAAAATTGAATTGAGATGTCAGGTGATGAATTCAAACTTTTTTTTTTGTTAAAGGGTTTAATGAATTCAAACTTATCCATAAAACAAAAGCCTAGATGGCATTATTATTAAATCCTGGTCTTGTGAGATTCGCGTTATTGCTATTGTTGATAGAGAGAAACGTAATAATTTTTTAATGATTAATATAAATTAGTAACTAATTTGTTTTTTTTTATACTCCAGGTGGTAGAAAGGTGGCGCTATGTGGACTAGCACAGTACGGGAATCTCGTAGGGGTCAGTATTGGTTACACCATCACTGCCTCCATAAGCTTAGTGTAAGCTTTACGCAAGTTGTGATTAATTTCGATAATGTTTTGTGGCTAATTACTTACAAACATGTCGCGAAGAAAATATTAAATATTGGTCCATATGTATTGTCGCGTAGGGCGATTGGGAAAGCAAATTGTTACCATGTGAAGGGCCATAACGGGAAATGTTCTGCATCGAATTATCCATACATGGCGGGATTTGGGATGATCCAGATTGTTCTCAGTCAGATTCCTAATTTCCACAAGCTCTCTTTCCTCTCCATCATCGCCGCCATTATGTCCTTCTCTTATGCCTCTATCGGAATTGGTTTGGCCATCGCCACTGTCGCAAGTACAGTTTCCTTGCTTCCTTTCTTTCAAACTACATGCACACGTAGAACCGTATCAAACTATATACAAATATTAACGGTTTCTGTGAAATTTGAACGTGTAATATGGAAGGTGGGAAGGTTGGTAAGACAGAACTGACAGGCACGGTGGTAGGAGTGGACGTAACGGCGTCTGAAAAAATCTGGAGATCGTTTCAAGCGGTTGGAAACATTGCGTTTTCGTACGCTTATACCATTATTCTCATTGAGATTCAGGTATCTACTGATTCCTACAATATCTTTCGTTTTAACAAGGTTGGAATATGCATCTCTATTGATACTTTTTTTTTGTGGTTAGAGATTACAAAAAGATATGTGAGGCTCATGTATATGGTTTTTATTTGCTTAATTATTTTGCAGGACACATTGAGGTCAAGCCCACCAGAGAACAAAGTGATGAAAAAAGCAAGCCTTATTGGAGTCTCAACCACAACTGTTTTCTACCTCTTGTGTGGTTGCATTGGTTATGCTGCGTTCGGAAACCAAGCCCCTGGTGACTTCCTTACCGACTTTGGTTTTTACGAACCTTACTGGCTCATCGATTTCGCCAATGCTTGCATTGCTCTCCATCTTATTGGTGCCTATCAGGTATATATATCATTGATTTTCTTCATATTCCTTATATCTTCTTAATCACTAGTATACAATATATATATAATTGGCAGGTGTATGCTCAGCCGTTTTTCCAGTTTGTTGAGGGAAAATGCAGCAAATGTTGGCCTGAAAACGATTTCATCAACATGGAATACTCTTCCAAGATACCATTGGTCGGAAAATGTCGTGTCAACATGTTTAGGGTGTTGTGGAGGACAATCTATGTGATTTTGACAACAATTGTAGCAATGATGTTCCCATTCTTCAACGCCATCGTGGGTTTGATAGGGGCACTTGCGTTTTGGCCGCTAACAGTTTATTTTCCTGTGGCAATGCACATTGCGCAGACAAAGGTTAAGAAGTATTCTCGCAGATGGTTGGCACTGTACCTCCTCATAGTGGTTTGCTTCATTGTCTCGTTTCTAGCTGCGCTAGGATCCATCGTCGGCCTAGTAGCTAGTGTCAGGAAATTCAAGCCTTTCCAGAGTTTAGACTAGTTGACTTATGACCTCTTCATCTATATTCTAGCTGAACTAGTATTTATCTCAAGCAAAATAGTCTGTTGTTCAAATAATGTTGTTAACGTTCTGTTTTGTGATATGGTAGAAACCAAAAAAACCAAATGGTAATCGATCTAAATTAGTAAATCGTGTGAAACTTGATAAAATAGTTTTTATATATTTTCTAAGACTAAAGGATTTATTTGTTCAACATTGGATGTTCGAGCTCGAATATAAAACATGACAATAACTAATTGGAATCAACGAATAAAATTGTGGTGTGTCCAACGATGGAAACAGTACAAATCTGCTAAAAACAAAGACAGTACTACAGCTCATTTATTTGTCTTAGTTCTCTCTATCATCCAGAAACAGAGAACCCAACAGTTTCCTCTGCACATTAACGTATTCAGAAGACAAATACACCCAAGTAACGAGACAAGCTAGCCACACAAGCGTACAAAGAAGAGTTTTAAGTGTTCCGTTATCTGAAAAAAGATTAGAAAAATAGGTATCGAAAGCGACAAGAGTATGAAGAAGTTGGATTTCATCAGGTTCCCAAATTCGTATGGATGAGATAAGTTTCGAGTTTAATTGTTTTAATTGGGAATGTCGGGAAAACTTCTTCAAAACACACACAAATTGTGTCATCCGTTCCGTTTGGTTTGGTCCCACATAAGTTGCTTTCACTTAGGCACACAAGTTTGGTCCTTCCTGACTGTAACGTTTCTCGTTGTTCACTAGTCTTCTTCTTTTCATTAACTGCATTTATCTGCTTCTCTCTCCCTCTCTGATCTTTCAAGCAAAAGTCATGTTTACCATGGACATCGATATCCACCAACAGAGAAGGGGTTGAAAACTAAAAGCAAACCAAGCAACAATCTCATGTGTTCGATTTTATACATCCAGAGATTTTAAATTCGATTTTTCTACTTTATACAATTACATAATCAAATCAAAGGCAAAAGAAGAGTGACAAAGAAACTCACTCTTTACCCTCACTCGTAGAACCCAAACCCATAAAAGAAAGAAAGAAACACCAACCACTACGAAGCCACACAAAAGTTTCCAAACTAGAAACTCACACTATGTACATCCTACTTTGTTAGTGCCTTGCGGGAAGTTTTTTTTTTCGAAAAAAGAAAAGTTACTCCCAAAGGCCATTTCGTGACTAATAAATTTTCAGAGTAAACAAAAATTGAAAATCTTTCAGGCGATTGACTCACCGTGGTGACAAAGCTCTTTCCTCATCCGTTGATTAAACAACCTGCAAGCATCCATACTAAGGTCAATGGCTGCAGATAGCGCCACGTAAGAAGCTGCATCCTCCATACAGCTAACGTGCTGCACACTAACCTCTACACAAGGCTTACTACATTTGCCTTCACCTTCCACACTCGCTGACATCACAAACCCTTTGTACACGCTCCACGGCCACAATCCGTATCCATAATCGCCGCTCCCTCTCGGACTATTCGCCGGCGACGCTCCTCCCCCACTACCTCCGCCGTTTCCACCGCCACGGCTTCTCGACCTGTTCACGCCACCTGTTGGCGACGATGACGACGACCCCAATTCGATTGAGAACTTCCCACCTCTGTGAGAACTAATTGTTGATTCTGCAAGCACGATTCCGGCGCCGCTTGATCCGTCCGGGATGAGTTCGAATCTGTAGCCTAGCCCGTCGGTGGCTCCACCGCGTTCCCGCCATGCCTCCAGCCGGCCCCAAGGTTTCCAGGTGCAATCTCCGGGACGGAGGATGAGCCAAGAACCGGGGTTTGAGCGGCTCACACGATCGGTTCCCGGAGATGCAACAAATGGCGTGACGATAGACGCCATAGCCACGGGCGAACCGGACAAGTCGTGGACCGTTATGGACCATCCTTTTCGCTCTTTTCCGGGACGTTCTCTCTCGCTCCCGAACGAGTTTAGCCAGCTCCGTGGAACGCTTGTCTCAGGCGGCAATGATCTGCTCAATAAACAAACATATAATTACTTAAAAGAGTAAAGTTTTATATTAAGAATAAAAGTGGTTAAATATCACAAGAGTAAAGTTTTATACTAAGAATAAAAGTGGTTAAATATCCTAAGAGTAAAGTTTATCCTATGAATAAAAGTAGTTAAATATCATAAGAGTAAAGTTTCAGTAGATCCGTACTAAAGCAAAAATTAAACCAGGAATGTGATTTCAGTAATTTCACAATAATCTATGGCGTTCGATCTTACTAAAGCGCATATCGATTTGATTCCTCGGGAAAAGACATAATTAGAAATTTTAAAAGTGATAACCCAATTTCCGAGAAATGTGGTGAGATTTTATTGGCCGGAAAACTGACCTTGATCTCATGGTGCGATCGCCGGTTTGCCGGCAACTGAATTTGCATGTGAACACCGGTTGCCGGATATTGCCTTGAATCTGGACGACTTGAGGACTACATTCCGGTTCGCCGTCGAACTGGAAAACGAACCTAGGATCAGGCTCCGCCTTCACATTCAGGTGAAACTGAGCCGACGACGCTTTCCCGGCTCCTTTTCCGACCGATATCCAGCCGTTATGGAAGACGCACTGCTTCGATTGTGTACCAGCTAGATCCAATGGTACGGAGACTTTGGCCAGGAGACGGCCGGAGTGTACACCGCACGCAGCGCCGGCTCTTCCGGTGTAGATGAGGATCTTAAGACACGGCTTCGAGGCGAAGATGGATCTGCAAGCTAGGCGTTCAATATCGGAGCTGCTGAGATGGAACGTGGCGGCTAGGGTTTGGATCTCCGGGAACTGTGTGGTCTCCAAGGGAATGTACGGGATGGCGGCGGTCTGCGGTGGGAAATTTTTCAGTTTGATCTTACAAAAGCAAGGGGAAGACGACGGATGAACGACGGAGCTAGTCGTCTTCGCTGCTAAAGGAACTTTCAGAGCTAGATTCCCGATCGTAAGACGGATGAAAGGACAAGGATCCATTTCTCTCGGACCGGAAGAAGATTCAATTTAGGGTTTTCAGTGGACGGAGAAAGAGAGAGAGCGAGAAGAAAATGCGACTAGGGGTTTAGGGAGAGCGACATTAACTGCAGGAACCGTTCTGGAGTCGACAACATGGAAAGTAGAAACAATGACTTGGAGAATTAGGCGAAGGAAAACGAAGGTGACGGTAAAACGCAGCGTTTTAATGGCGCCGCTGGATTTTTCTCGACCTAACCACCAGCGGAAGCTGTCGTCTTCTTCCCTCTGTGTATGTATTGCCTCTGGTTTTTAAGTGGGGCAAGAAGGAAGCGCAATTTACATTTTTTCCATTTTTGCATTCCCTCCTTTGTTTCCCTTTACTTTCTAGATTTGTCCGATAAATCCTTATTCTTTCCAAACATAAATATTTGCACCAAACTATTTAAAGAGCTATTAAACCCACACTACATTGATGTAATGTAAGCCAGTTCTAATTATTATGAGGTTCTAATTTTATAAAGAAAAAAAGACAAATTACAATATTATCTTGCAACCAATAGAAACTAGCTCACTAAATAACAAAAGAAAGTTATAATCACAAATCATTTAACAAATTATATGTTAAATTTCTGAAAGGTAATACAAATGTTTGTGTTCAACCACAATTTACAAAATATGAGACTCTTGCACATTCAGAGTAACCATTTACAACTTAAAAAAATGAGAAGATCAAATGAGACATTTTTCTTAGATTGCTTGCAAAGAGCTTGATATTAGACTATATACTCGATTCTCTCCTTTAAACAAATAGCATCTCATATCAGAGAGATTGCCACTAAAATGTCTGATAAGTAGCCTCAATCTGGGCTAAATCTTTGAAATTCAAAACAATGGTGTAGATTGGCAAACTCTATCATTAACGTGGCGTTTGTTTTGCAAAAGGTTCTTTATCAGTTTTAAAACAATTTTTTTTTTTTTTGAGATTTAAATGTGTACGGATAAAAAGGGTAAATCCGAAATTTGGAGTTAGTTGAGGGGTAGAGAGAAAAGGCGTTGGAGCACAGCTGGGAACAGGCTGGCGAGAAATGCCAGCTCGGATTAGAGGTTGACGCTAATCCTCTGTCTTGCGTCTTGACTTTCTCTCTCTACCTGATCAGTGACCAAACCCACACACATCACACACAACGTAGGGCTCCACTTCTTTTAATTTACGAGATTACCCTTACTGGCTTACGTGTACGTTCGCGGCTCTTGATCGGGGAATCTTTCCGCCTCTATGCGGAGCTCACGTTTATGTGTCAGCACAGTCACATAGTTTTCTGGTTTTTCGTTTTCATTTTTGGACAACAAAGTTTCAGAGTTTGTTCTGGTTTTTTTTTTGAAAAAACTTCAAGTATCGATGCGCAATGTCAAATCAATTATGTTCCCTAACAGTGATTATTACTTTTCTAAAACTGAAAATTGGGTGTTAACTGGTGATGACTTTTTACATAGTTTACATAGTACTGAATTAAACACGCCCAAGTAACGTAATTTTTATGTTGATGTACAAATGCACATGCTAGGTTGTAGACGCATGATGCAAGAGGAAGAAGGCCTTTATCCTCTGAGTGACTGACTGAGTCTAGAAATGTTATATTTTCAAAAAAAACAAAAAAAAAGGGAGCAAATTCCAGCTATCATCCACGATCCTCGTTCAGCTTAACCTATGCTACTTAAAAATAGTATTAAACTAATCTAAGCCAATAGTTAACTGAATCTAATCTGTCGTAAACGTGCACGCATATCTCTCGCCCAATCCCCAAACAATTCTACTTTATTTTTTATTTGTTGACCCGCATTACTATTGTAGAAAAGCTGCATTCTATAAAGATACGAAATTTGTTTTTAAATGGAAGAAGAAGCTCACCAGTTTTTTAAAGAATACAATGACGAGTTTACCATTGCAGTAGAATAAAAGGTGACTGTTTAATTTTGATGTGATTTAGTAAAGGACGATTTCCTCGAAAATTTGAACACGTTAGAAATTTCATATACAAATGTAGAAAAGTTTCCTGGTTAAAAAAAAACTCAAGAGAGTGCGAACACGTCATTGTGGTGTAAAGTTAAGAAGACTAATTATCATCGCTCATGTGTTTCTCCGAGACTAAACAATAATATTAACATATGATATTGTAGAAGTACTTGAAGATGAATAGGATTGCAATTTATACAAATACATAATTATATTTAGACAGACATCTTTAAGATGGATAGTCAGAGAGATTAGACCAATCTTGTTGCCCAAGAGTATAAACGAGCTTACGAGTGAGGTTTGCTGAAGCCCTAGACTGAACATAACACCGTATGTAGTAAAATCTATAAAATCTGTAAGTGTTTCATCCGCGGACGCGACTAATCATATCAGAAGACAGAAGTCGTGGTTCCCAATTTATTTAATTTATGATGTTTCATAAGATGATCTTGCGACAGTGTCCGGTTTTCATTTCTAGTGGTGAGATCTTATGCATAAGTTATATGACAACCAATAGCGTGATGATTGATGAAGAATCAGTCGGAAAAATTAAAAGTTTTTCTGAAGTAAAAATTAGAAATTGTGTTTTTAAGAAATGAGAAATTTGATGAACTTTAGGAGAGACGCTCACTCGATGATAGTTTCGATGACCTAACCGATAGTAACCAAACTAAATTCAAACTCTTTTTTATTCTGGTTCTTCAAAATAAATTATGATTAACATTTTAAAACTAAAATTAATTAAGCGATGACAAAACCTCTCAAAATGGAATAAAAAACAAAAGAATCGCATCTAAAGATTAAAGCACAAAGTGCTACTGCAACAAACGGAAGAAGCTAAACGAAGCAGTAACCAGACGAAGATGAAGGCGTTAGGGTATTGGCTAATGGTGGTTGGTTCACTGAGATTAGCTTCTGTTTGGTTTGGTTTCTTCAACATTTGGGCTCTTCGTCTCGCCGTCTTCTCTCAGACCACCAGTTCAGTTCGTTTCCCTCTTTAATCTCCATTTCGGATTGTTCTCAGTCGATTTTGTGTTTATCGATACTTCAGATTTGTTCACATAGAATCTAGTTGGTAATGTTCACATAGAATCTATAGATACCTCAGATTTGTTCGATTAATTGACTTGCTTAGACTCTGAGATTATAGTCATATAATGTGTTCTGTGATTCAAAGGAGAAATGATAATGTCACGTTCAGAGTATTGATTCTTCCAATACGGATCGAATTTGGGATCCCTAAGCTCTAAGCTTTTGAAATATAATGAAAAGTTATAATATGGGTTTTTCCTTGTGCATTTGATCTTGATAGTTTTTGCTACTACATTGCATTTGGAAGGTCAATCATTTGTGAATCAGAAGTCAACTTAGAAATTTTTAGATTGAGATCCCGATTCGGGTTCTTTGAACATATCCATGCTCTTTCTAGCTGCTTTTTTCTTTCTTCTTCTTTGGGTTCTTCATGTTCCTTTGATTGCAAATTTTGAGGTAGTTGGAATTGAAAGCAACACATGCTCAAGAAATTGATTCACTATTGCTTTGGGGCTCGAGCAAGAAGTTTATGTTATTCTTTAGGATAAAAGGCTGTGTCATGTGTGTTTATTTCTTCTTTCTTTTTTTCTTGATCATTATGGCTTTTTTTGTTGTTTATCTCTCCAAGATTGGTCTTCCTTGCAAGTTGAGATATAGAAATTTACAGGTTGTCAATGTTTTGGTCCCCGAGAATATGTTCAAGGTTTCACGAAGTTACAATGATGTGAATCGTTTTGATCGCTAGTAATAACAAGTCACAGGGTTCTGTAGCTATTGTGCATGATTTCCCCAAGTTCAACATAGGCTCTAACATTTTAGAGAAGAATCTTTGTTTCAGGTCTGACATATTTCTCAGCTGATCTTGTTCATTAATTCTCTGCAACTATATGAGAAAAAGGTTCAGTTCTATAAGACCCATGCTTAGTGCTTGAATACGTTATACAGAGAATGTAGGAAAAAGAGATTAGTACCATAAGATTAGCAAACCGAAGCAACATATCCAAGAAAGATTTGCAATATTTGAACGCTTCTATAGTACAATTCCTTGGTGAAGGAACTTTTGTAGGAAGTGGACCACCATGACCTAAATATCAGGAAGGGGGAAAGTATATGGATCTAGAATTGGTTGGTTTTGATTACAGTTTACAGAGTCCAATGCATAACCCCTTTTTTTGTGGGATCTGTATGCAATTTTACTTTTAAAATCTGTTGAAGCAAATCATTGACCAGGTGTAGTGTATCAGATGCTGTAGATGTATTAGCACAGAAGCAACATTATCTTTTTGTCTTAGGACCTTTTTTTTTTTCATGTGATTGTAAGGTCCTAGTCCCTGGAAGTGTTTAGTTTATTGATTCTGATAACAAAAGGTAGTAATAACTTTGCATCATATGAGCAACTGCATAATTGGAAACAATATAGTTGAAAAGAGTGATTCACATAGTTGAAGTCTCTCTAACTTTAGGTTGGCTCCTTTCGGATTACAAGAGTCTCAAGATGTTCTTTCTGTTTAAAACTGTTTTGGCAGTGAGTGAAGTTCATGGACGTACGTTCGGAGTATGGACACTCTTGACCTGCACTCTCTGCTTTCTTTGTGCATTCAACCCCGATAACAAACCGTTATACTCGGCTACGTTTCTCTCCTTTATCTACGCCTTAGGCCATTTTCTGACCGAATACATCTTCTACCATACAATGACCATCGCGAATCTCTCTACTGTGGCCTTCTTTGCAGGTATGGCTTGTGGCAATCACCATATATATATTACATCACTCACTCTTGTGTTCAATCAGTTAATGTAGGTTGCACTCAATTGTGTGAATGATCATGATATGTACTGCGGTTATTTTTGTAACAGGCATATCGATTGTGTGGATGCTATGGGAGTGGAATTCCCTTGAACAACCGCACTCCAAACTTTCATGATGTTCTTCTGAGGACATGTAAACTGAGTCTTTCTCTCCTTTTGAAAGTTTTTAAAAAGTTGGAATCATCTCCGGCTTTTACTTGTTTCTTAAAGCTGTTGATTCATGTTTCATCTATCACTTTTAGCACTCTTAACGAGATCAAGTTGAACCATATGAGAATACTATAATTTCATGGATTTTTTTTTTTTTTTTAACTCAACCAATTCATGGCTAAGTGTTGTTCTATTGCTTTAGAGACATAAATTTGAGTATAATGTATGACATTTAGTCAATAGTCATCACTCCGATAATCTGAGTTGAATGTATCAAAACAAACTTTTATAACTAACTTTAATACGACTCATATATTTCCCCTAGTGAATAATGCTTGTGAGGAACCTGCTATATTCCTAAAATTATTTCAACACCTATGGCTCAAAATTGTCAACCATGTGTTGTATAACATCTGCTCCAGCTGAATTGATCATCTTTGTTTTCACCTGTAATGTTTTCCAAATCGGAGTATGAACGACTTAACATTAAGAGCAATGATGATATCGCCAGGACAAGAGACAAAAATGATGACGAATGTGAACACTTGCCTGAATGGTATTGTGAGCGAGAAATCTTTGCAGGGTTCCTCTGAAACTAACATCAACTCGTTCCCATCTCATTTTTGTTAGCTCTCTTATCATTTCCTCTGCAAAAGTTGTTGTACCATGATGATTTGAAATCAAAGATAAGAAACCTGAGAATGAGGAGAGAAGTCTGAGTTTCCACCGAACCAACCTTCCATATCGACCCCGTCTGAATTGATCCCTGGTCGATCTTCCTCCTCGTTACTTGAAGTATCTGGTGTTTCAACGTTCACAATGTGAGGATACTTCTCGTTGACTGGACCGCGTTGAAGCTGACAAGATCAGGTGTGAGACTGATTAAGCATAACACACACCATTAAGTATGATATTAAAACACTGAGAGGTTAATAATACCTTAGGAAGCTCGTTGCGACGTCTGATTGACGATGTGCTCCACCCGACAAGGTCTAAAGAACAAGTGAGGTTAAGGTTTCAAATGAATTGCAATAGCCACAACAGTTCCTGAGTCTTTTTAGCTTTAACACGCATTGTAAGAACAGTGAAGAAGTAGTGAAATGATTCACAGAGGCCTGAGAAAGAAAGGATACGGTCAAAACTTGTATTTGCATAAGCAATACGCCGCTTGAAGCATCGCAAAGCAGAACTGTTCACAAAAGCAGAGGAGATGATGTCATTACAGATCGTCTGAACAATGCAAAAAGCTATGTACAAAGAAGAGAACAAATTTAGTGAAAGGAACTCACATGAATTTAAGGTTTCGACGATCACTAACCATTCGGAGGAGTAGCGGAGGCTTTCCATCATCACCATCAGCCAGGAAAAGATGTTTCCCCGTTTTACCAAGACACCAAGACATACGCGTAGCTAGTCTCTCCAAAGTGTGAGATCCGGAAAACAATGGGACCTGATGCAGACAAAATGCCAAACCATTAAAGACTTGGACTGCAAATTCAAGTGTAAGAAAAAACTAATCCCAACTTTTTACCTGCTTATGTCCTCTTGAACCAAGGTGTGGAGTTGCAGAAGTTATGAAAAACACAGGCTCCAATCCAGCAATTCTCCCTTTCGGTTCCTCTATCGACCTTTTGTCGTCACTGTTCTGTGGAAGCTCTTGTCGGGATTCTTGCTCATAAAGACGGGCAACAGCATACCTAGCAATCAAGCCACCTAAAGAATGTGCTACAAAGGAAATCTTCTGGAGACTTGGGTGACGTTTGATCACCGACCTAACCTAAACCAGAGAGACACAAACAAAAATCTTGCTTCAGCTGCAAAACTCAAGCAGAGACAAAGAAAGCAAGTTCTACATAAAAGGATCTAGCATTGAGAAAACATGAGAATGAAGATGAGCAAGCTTGAGACAGACAGAAACACATACCTCTTCTGCTAATCTTTCTCCCATAACATCAACACCATCAAATGTCTGTGTCGAATGGTTGCGTTTACTGCCTGCAATGGTTTTAGATTATATCACAAACCATTCTATGCAAAAGTAGTATCCATCGTGGTAACAAGATCTAGAGTTGGATCTTCATGATATAAAGCAGTAAAGTGAGGGACACAAGGACTAAAACTTCAAAATCTAAAGTAGGGCTTTTTCCAAGATCATAGTATCAATCTGTTTCACTTGAGACTTCCACGGAAGTTTACAAAATCATGGAGGGAGAAGACTCTCACAGTGAACGACGAGATCCTGAGGATACTTCTTCAGCAACTGCTTAGCGGCGAATCTCCAGTTCTGAGCACTGCACACACAAAACAAAAACCCACAATAGTTTCTAAAAAAACAGCTTGAAATCGAACATAATCAAGCACATACAAAGGAAGCCTAGAGAACCTGCCGATGAGACCGTTGACCATGACGACCAGGTGAGTTGGCTCGGCGCGTTCGCCAGGAAAATCTATAGTCAAATCGACGTTTCCGCTCTCGTCAGATTCAGCTCTCAGACAACCCATCCAATACTTCTTCGACTCGTAATCACCACTCTTATGTTAAGGGAAAACGGATGTTCCAATAATCCAGACCGATGTTCCGCGAACACGAGTCTGGTGTTTACCTACCGAGAATCCACGAAAGAAGAAGGGTTTTTCCGGCGTAAGCAAGCGTTCGTCGTCACGAGAGAAGAGTGAGAGAAGGAATATTTGTTAACTTTTCTGATTGATTTCTGAATATTGTTTTCGGTTACAAGGTATATCCGAACCCGCAAATGGGCTTACCAACTCTAAAGCCTAATTAACTATTATCTACTAAAATCTAGAAAGACCCAAAGTTCAAACCCTGTAACAAATCCTTCCGCCCCGAAGAACCTTGACCTCAAGGTTTGAACGAAGGCCACTTCTGTTGCACGTCAAGGAGGAACTCCCACGTTGCCTCCTCGGGTGCTTGATTTGCCCATTTCACTCTCGAAGATTGATTCGGGTTCTTTCACCAAAGCATCGTGCACTGCCGCGGGCAATTGAGTGGCTACGGTAAATCTCCTAACCTGCAATTTCAACTGGGAAACATGAAAGACCGGGTGGATTTGGGAAGAAGCTGGCAGAGCTAACTTATATGCCATCAGTCCACACTTGTCCAGTATCTTGTAGGGTCTGAAGTACTTGGGGGCAAGCTTCTGGTTTGAACGCAGCACCACTGATTTTTGACGGTAGGGTTGGAGTTTGACATAAACAAAGTCACCGATGTCAAATTCCCTATCCGTGCGATGTTGATCCGCAAATTGTTGCATTCGATGCTGAGCTCGAAGTAGATGAAACTTCAGGAGCAGTATCATAACTTCTCGATCCTGCAAGGATTGAGCAACCACAGCAACACGAGATTCACCCGGGAGGTAAGGCAAATGCTGTGGAGGGGGTTTACCGTAGAGGCAAATGCTGTGGAGGCAAAGGTGTCATCTGAGTGGAGGAGTGGAAGTTGGTGTTGTACCAGAATTCCGCCAGAGGTAACCATTTACTCCACAGGGAAGGGCGATCGCTGCACATGCATCGGAGATAAGTTTCAAGGCAACGGTTAACCACTTCCGTTTGACCGTCACTCTGCGGGTGGTAGGCACTCGACATGTTCAGTGCTACGCCCTGCAAGCTGAATAGTTCCCGCCAGAACTCACTGAGAAACACTGCATCTCTGTCGCTGACAATGGACTGAGGAAGGCCGTGGAGCTTGTAAATATTGTCCAGGAAGGCCTGTGCGACCGATACCGCCGTGTAAGGATGAGACAGGGCAACAAAGTGAGCTGCCTTGCTAAGGCGATCAACCACCACCAGAATAACGGACTTACCAAAAGATTTGGGTAATCCATCGATGAAATCCATGGAAATGTCAGTCCAAATTGCCATTAGAATAGGAAGGGGTTGTAGAAGCCCAGGTGAAGCAGAGGTATCATACTTACATTGTTGACATATGTTGCAGCCGCGTATGTACGCTTGTATATCCTTTGCCATTCCTTTCCAGTAGAATAGACCTTTAACCCTTTGATGAGTTGCATCACGCTCTGAGTGGCCCCCAACCCCTGATCCATGAAGCCACTCTAAGATAGTATTTCGTAGCTGGCGATCTTGAGGAACTACGAGTTTACTCTTTCGCCTGAGAATATCTTTGGACCAAGAGTAGTGTTTCCTTGCGTGAGGTTTCAACTTAAGCTCGTCTATGAGTCCTTGAGTTTCCGGGTCACGTGCGTAGCTAGCTTGAATCTGTTGAAGCAAGTCACAGTTCTAGACTGACATCGCCATGTGTAACACCTGAGAACCTTCCACTCGAGAGAGGGCATCAGCCACCAAGTTCTCCTTACCTTGGCGATATTGAATCTCATAGTCGAACTCCAGTAATTTGGGAAGCCACTGTTGTTGAATAGGCGTGTTAAGCCTTTGTTCCAACAAGTATTTGAGGCTTCGCTGATCCGTTTTGATGATGAAGTGCCCCGTCAAGAGGTAGTGGCGCCACTTCTGTACAGCAAACACGACAGCCAGAAGTTCTTTTTCATAGATAGATAGGTGTAGTTGTTTACCCCGAAGATGGCGACTAATGTAAGCAAGAGGGTGGCCTTCCTACATCAACACAGCACCAATACCCTGACCACTTGCGTCTGTCTCCACCACAAAGGGTTTATTGAAGAGAGGTAAAGCCAACACAGGAGTCTCGCTCAAAGCTTGTTTCAATGCTTCAAATGCGACACCAGCTTCGTCAGACCACCTGAAAGAATCCTTCTTAGTAAGGTCAGTTAGAGGACGAGCAATGGTGCCAAAATTACGGACAAAGCGTCGGTAATATCCTGCAAGCCCTAAGAAACCCCGAAGCTGTTTGAGAGTTGTAGGTGTTGGCCAATCTTTGATTGCCCTGACCTTCTCTGGATCGGTTGAAATTCGTTGAGCCTGAATATAGTGACCCAAGTACTCCACCCGTGTAGTAGCAAAAGCGCATTTGGTCAGTTTAGCAAACAGCTTATTCCGTCGCATCAAGATGAAAACTTGACGTAAATGATCAATGTGTGAAGCTAGAGTGGGGCTGTACACCAGTATATCATCGAAGAAGATGAGTACACTCCTCCGTAGTAAGGTCTGGAAGACAGCATTCATGAGACCTTGGAAGGTAGCAGGTGCATTCGTAAGCCCAAAAGGCATTACAATGTACTCAAAGTGTCCGCCATGAGTCTTGAAAGCTGTTTTGTGAATGTCAGCAGGATCCATTCGGACTTGGTGATATCCTGCCCTCAGGTCAATCTTGGAATACACCGTAGACCCGCCCAATTCATCCAAGAGATCCTCAATAAGTGGAATAGGGAATCGATCTTTCACCGTCATGTTATTGAGTCCCCTATAATCTACACAGAGTCTCCAGGTACCATCCTTCTTCTTTACTAAAACCATAGGTGAGGCATAAGAGCTAGAGCTGTTTCGGATAGTACCCTCGCAGAGCAGTTCCTGGACCAACTTGTGTATCTCGTTCTTCTGGTACAGGGCATAACGGTAAGGGCGTTGGTTGACTGGATTAGAACCGTCGAGGAGAGGGATCTTGTGATTATGGTGCTCTTGGAAAGGAGGAAGGGTGCTTGGTGTGGCAAAGATGTCCTGAAACTCGGAGAGCAACACGGTAATAGCTGCAGGAAGAGGTGTGGAGACGTTGTCAGTCACTAAAGAGTTCAACCGGATTGTGTCAGTTGCATCATCCTGCTGAACGCAAATCATAGAGAGTTGAACGTTGTCCTCCTCTACCAGCTTATGCAACTTGTTGGCCTTGATAGACTTCACGGAATCAGGTTTAATACCATGCAACAAGACAGTTTGCTTCTCCCACTGAAACTGCATTGTCAGATTCTTGAAATCCCAAGTGATAGGACCCAGCAGCTCGAGCCATTGAATCCCAAGAACCATATCACATCCCCCCAGGGGAATCACCATGATGTCCGACTGAAATTAAACACACCTAAAACACCATTTGAAGCCGCGAATCCTTGCATTCACCCTCAATTTCTGTCCACCAGCTACCTTCACTCGAGCAGAGCCTGCAGGGTGGAGGTTGCATCCCAATTGTTCTGCCACTTTTGAGTCCACGAAGTTGTGTGTGGATCCAGAGTCGATGAGAATAAAGAGTGGTTTCTTGCCATACATCCCCTTGACCCTCATTGTATTATGACTAGAGATACCTGCCATCGCGTGAAGAGAGATGTGAGCTTCTTCCGTGTCATCGGTTTCAGCAGTTACAGGTTCTTCCTCGACGATAACATCGAGGGAAGCATCGTCCTCCGTATCAAGAAGGAATAACTGAGCTCTCTTGTGCTTAAAGTAGTGACCCGGGGTGTATTTCTCGTCACAGAAGTAGCAGAGACCCTTCGCACGTCTCTCTGCCATTTCAGCTGTAGTGAGTTGATGTTGTGTGCTTGCCACCTGTTGGTGCCCACTGAGAGGTTTTGTAAGTGGCAACTTCTTGTAGGGGAGGAGTCCTTTCTCACTGTTGTTCGGTTTCGTAGCTGACCCAGCCGGAGAGACATTGTTGCGTGGGTGAGCTCTTTCGTACAATCGACCAAGCATCAAACATTGACGAATAGTGTGAGGCTGAAACATTCTCACGTGCATCTGAGTATCCAAATGCAGTCCCGCAAGGTAAGCACTGACCAAGTATTCTTCAGATAGTGTCACCCTGGTTTTGATCAGCTCGAAGCGCCCATGATATTCGACGATACCATTAGTCTCCTGTAGTTGCTTGAGCTCTGCGATTGGATCATCCAGCAATTCATCAAATCGCTCCTGCAACAACATCTTATATGTCCCCCAGTCATAAAGAATATTCTCTCCGAGATCTGATTGAATAACAGACTGATGCCAAGTCGCAGCGACATCGTCGAAGTGAATAGAGGCGATACCCGCTTTCAACTCCTCCGGGGTTTGGTCGATCAGAAAAAACTGCTCCACTTTAAAGAGCCATTCCTTTATCTTACCCCCGCCAAACCTTGGGAAATCCAGTTTGGCAAGGCGCGTGACACCGGCGTAAGGATTAGGAGCTCCCATACGTCCTCGGCCGAGATCTGGGTTTATCATCGGAGGGTGTTTATCTGGCGCGAACGATTCCGGACGTTTTTCGGGTCGTGTGGCACTGGTGGAGGTGGATCCTTGTGAGACCGTAATCATCCGAATCGCCGCGAACATTTCCGAAAGGTGGGTATCGATATCAGAGATTTTCTGGTCGAGCTTCTCGTTCTGTGATGCGACAAGCCCTTCCAACGCGTTCGTACGGTCCATCACTTCCGTAAATCGTGATCCGAGAGTCTCCAGCTCGCGATCCACTGCTTTAGCTCGCGTTTCCGCCATTAAATCCGAGAAAAGACTGGTGTCTGATACCTTTGTTAAGGGAAAACGGATGTTCCAATAATCCAGACCGATGTTCCGCGAACACGAGTCTGGTGTTTACCTACCGAGAATCCACGGAAGAAGAAGGGTTTTTCCGGCGTAAGCAAACGTTCGTCGTCACGAGAGAAGAGTGAGAGAGAAGGAATATTTGTTAACTTTTCTGATTGATTTCTGAATATTATTTTCGGTTACAAGGTATACCCGAACCCGCAAATGGGCTTACCAACTCTAAAGCCCAATTAACTATTATCTACTAAAATCCAGAAAGATCCAAAGTTCAAACCCTGTAACATCTTACTCGTCTTCGTCTTCATCTTCTGCTTCTTTTTCGACCCACCCATTCCTTCGGATTCATTTCCACCATGCACATCTTCTTCTAAATTCCTCGGAACCTTGCTATCTTCTATCTCCATGATCAGGAATTGAAGAGGGAGCTTAATGAAAAAAGTTGCAGAAAAATGGAAACTTTATGCCACTTTAGGAAAATTCGAAGTCAAAGGGTGAGAGAGAGAGACAGAGATGGTTTATGTCGTCGTTGGGAAGGTCCCCACAGCATAGTGTTGTCGTCGTTGAAACGCCATTGACATTTTCTTTCTTAGCACATTAACACATCTGAGATTTGCCACTCTTGCTTTTCTATAGAACACATGTACTACACAATTAAGTTGATCAAATAAGCCGAAAAGAAAACATTCGTAGAAGTGATAATAGTTATGAAATCGATACTAAATGACTTTTTGTAATAAGACAAGCCCGGCCCAACTAATTTTAAATCATGAAACCGACTAACCGAGTATAAACCACAATTTTGATCTCTGTTGTTTTCGTTTGGAAAAGTCAAACCACAATTTTGACTTTTTATCTGCAACTCAAAAACGTCGGAAAACAAGACAAGAATCAAAAATCAAATGCATTGAAACAGAAAACGATGAGATTTCTTCACCTTTCTTCTCCGAAGTCTCGCTGATTGATGCCTGTTGGACTTCTCCTTCAACTAATCAGTCTCCTCTTTCTTCTCGCTCCTCTCTTCTCTTCTTTGTCACTCAAAGGTGAGATTTTTAATTTGACTTTTTTTTGTTGGGTTGACCCATTTCATCTTCATCATCAAGCTTTTACTATTTCCCGTCTTCGATTTGATTTGTTGATATCCGAATTTAGACTGAATCCCATTTGCTCGTTTTTCAGTCATGGCGGATTCTAACATCGTTATGAACGGTGACTTCTCTGATGGGATTGAGCCTTGGTACCCCAACGGATGCGAAGCGTTTGTCGTTTCCTCCGACCCATTCAGCTCAGATTCAGTCTCCGACTCCTCGAGCTGCGGCTATGCCGTTGTAACTAACAGGAATGATACTTGGCAAGGCCTTGAACAAGACATCACGACCCAGGTTTCTCCTGGTGTCACCTATACTGTGTCAGCTTGTGTTGGTGTCTCTGGTCCTTCCCATGAATCATCCGAGGTTCTTGCCACTGTGAGGCTCGAGCACGAAGACTCGCCTACCGAGTATTTGTTCATCGGAAAGTACGGTTTTGGTAGCTTATTATCTTTGGAATTTGACTGAAGTTTTTGGTACATGTTGCTGACGAATTGAAAAACTTAACCTTCAGAACATATGCTTCGAGAGACAACTGGGTTGATCTAGAAGGAACTTTCTCGATATCGAATATGCCTGACCGTGTTGTTCTCTATCTGGAAGGTCCTGCTTCAGGGAAAGACCTCCTTATACGCTCAGTTACCGTTAGATCCTCCACTTCTCGTGACTTCCAGGTAAAGGTCGTGCCTTTATTTACCACCCAAAAGCCATTTTTTTCGTTTTACTTTCCTTATAGCTCACTCGGATCATTTGATTCCAAACTGTATAATCCGTTTCAAGGCTTACTATTTCACTGCAGGAAACGGAAGAAAACACAGCAGCTTCCAGTGACTTTCCTCCTGCTTTGAATATCATTAAGAACCATGACTTCTCTGATGGGTTGTATTCTTGGAACTCCAACAGTTGTGATTCATTTGTTGTTAGTAGCAACGACTGTGGCTTAGAGTCATATGCGGTTGTTAATAACCGGAGCGAAACCTGGCAAGGACTGGAGCAAGATATCACAGACAGAGTTTCCCCTGGATATTCGTATAAAGTCTCTGCTAGTGTTAGCGTATCGGGACCTGTTCAAACGTCGGCGCAGGTCTTGGCCACTTTGAAGTTAGAGCACCAAAGCTCACCAACCGAATTTCAGCTTATTGGAAAGTAATGACACCACATGACTTCTTTGTCATATGTAAGTCAAGAAGACCCAGAAATGTTGACATTGATAATGTTTTTATCTGCAGAACTTATGCTTCGAAAGATATTTGGAAAACTCTGGAAGGCACTTTTGTATTTTCAGGAAGGCCTGACCGTGTTGTATTCTTCTTGGAAGGGCCACCTCCAGGGATTGACATTCTCATAAAGTCTGTCACCATCCATTGCGAGAGCGATCATCAGTTTGAGGTAACTTACATGATAAATATATGATTTGTATCTTGTTCCTTCTTGAGATCTTAAGAAGCTGTGTTCAGTAATTTGATATCTTTCCTCCCTTGCCTTAGTATACACAGAGTAGCCGAGAATTCTGTCCAGCTCCTAAAGCTGATCATCACATCTTCCTGAATTCAAGCTTTTCCGATGGACTCAACCATTGGTCTGGAAGAGGATGCAATCTTATGTTACATGAGTCTCTAGCTGATGGGAAGATACTACCGCATTCTGGAACCTGTTTTGCGTCTGCAACAGAGCGCACACATAAGTGGAGCGGAATTGAGCAGGATATAACAGAAAGAGTCCAGCGGAAACTCATTTATGAAGCATCTTCCGTTGTTCGGCTATCGCATAGCCATCACACCGTGCAGGCCACTTTGTATGTTTTATACCCTGACCAACGTGAAGAGTACATCGGCATTTCTAGGTGAGCTTTGCAACTGTTTCTTTCTTTTTTTTTAAACACAAAGTATCATCTGATCAAACAATGTTGAAGAAAGTTTGTTCCTTTTTGAAGTGTTGAGGCCAGCCACGACGATTGGGTGAACCTGAAAGGGAAGTTCCTCTTAAATGGATCTCCAGCCAGAGCAGTTGTTTACATTGAAGGACCTCCACCAGGGATAGATGTTTTTGTCGACCATTTTGATGTAAAGCCTGCAGAGAAAAACCCTCCTTCAAGACGACCATATGTCGAGGTCAGACATATAAATGTTTCTTGCTTTTTTTAACATTTAACTTCTCCTTATGTGTAATGAGTCAGAAAATGTTTTCCATTTTTCTACAGAGTCATGCTTTTGGGATGAACATAGTTTCGAATAGCCACCTAACCGATGGAACAATCGAAGGCTGGTTCCCTCTTGGAAACTGCCATTTAAGAGTTGCAGAAGGCTCTCCTAGGATACTACCTCCGCTGGCGAGAGACTCACTTAGGACAACAGATGGGTATCTATCTGGACGATACGTGCTTGCGACAAACCGAAGTGGAACATGGATGGGTCCTGCTCAGATGATAACTGACAAAGTGAAGCTGTTCGTAACATACCAGGTCTCAGCTTGGGTCAAGGTTGGCTCAGGAGGATTAACTTGTCCACAGGACGTGAATATTGCACTCAGTGTTGATGGTAAATGGGTTAATGGAGGAAAAGTAGAGGTGAATGATGGGGATTGGCATGAAGTTGTAGGTTCGTTTAGGATTGAGAAGCAAGCGAAAGAAGTTATGATTCACGTCCAGGGCCCATCTCCTGGTGTTGATCTTATGGTTTCAGGTCTTCAGATTTTCGCTGTTGATCGTAAGGCCCGGTTGAGTTATCTCAGAGAGCAAGCTGATGTGGTAAGCGTACGATACATTTTACTCGTTACAGCTTCAAAAAAACAACAATGAAACTTTACTTTTTTTTCACAAATGCTCTTTCTCTGTTACGCAGGTTCGTAAACGCGATGTTCGGCTCAAAGTCACAGGTTTAGATCCTAGCGAATTGTATGGTGCTACGGTGAAAATCAGACAGACACGCAACAGTTTCCCACTGGGGTCATGTATTAGTCGGAGCAATATAGATAACGAAGACTTTGTGGATTTCTTTCTGAACAATTTCAAGTGGGCAGTGTTTGGTAACGAGCTGAAATGGTACTGGACAGAGCCAGAGCAAGGCAGCTTCAATTACCGGGACGCCGACGAGATGCTCGGATTCTGCGAGCGGCACGGCATAGAGACCCGAGGCCATTGCATATTCTGGGAGGTCGAGTCCGCTATTCAACCGTGGGTCCAACAGCTGAGCGGTACTGAACTAGAAGCAGCGGTTGAGAGCCGCGTGACAGATCTTCTTACCCGTTACAACGGGAAGTTCAGACACTACGATGTGAACAACGAAATGCTCCACGGATCATTCTATAAAGATCGCCTAGGCTTTGATTCAAGAGCAAAGATGTTCAAGACCGCGCACGAGTTAGACCCGTCAACGACTCTGTTCCTCAATGAATACCACATAGAAGACGGGTTCGACTCGAGGTCATCGCCGGAGAAGTACATAAAACTGGTTCACAAGTTGCAGAAGAAAGGTGCCCCCGTGGGAGGAATAGGGATCCAAGGACATATAACCAGTCCCGTTGGTCACATCGTTCGTTCGGCTTTAGACAAGCTGAGCACACTAGGGCTACCTATCTGGTTCACGGAGCTCGATGTATCCTCGATTAACGAGCATATAAGAGGAGATGATCTTGAGGTGATGCTGTGGGAAGCGTTTGCTCATCCAGCGGTTGAAGGAGTGATGCTTTGGGGGTTCTGGGAGCTGTTTATGAGCAGAGAACATTCGCATTTGGTGAATGCGGATGGAGAGATTAACGAGGCTGGGAAGAGGTTTCTTGAGATCAAACGCGAATGGCTGACTTTTGCGGATGGAGTGATTGAGGATGAAGAAGCTGGACTGGAGTTTAGAGGTTATCATGGGAGTTACACAGTGGAAGTTGTTACTTCGGAGGGTAAGTATGTGAAGAACTTTGTTGTTGACAAAGGGAATTCTCCAATTGACATCAACATCGATCTTTGAACTTTTTTTTTAATAATACTTGCGTGATAAGCAAAGATCAATATTATAGATGTTTGCTATTATGTACACACACATTGAGAGCATACAAGTTTGCAGTTTGGCTTTACTGAAATTATATTTCATCTTTACTTTCGTTACTTGCAACACCGTAACAACAATTAAAACTCATAAACACTAACTTCACGCCCTTTATGCCATTAAACTTGATTTCTGTTGGTTATATTTATGTTCATCTATGTTTGGTTGTTCCGCCTTAATTACTTGAGAAATCACCATTTTCTGAGGCTGAGAAAATTTGTGTTTTTTCCACCACTTCTTTTAATTCGCCTACTTTGTAAATAATAATTGGCACACTATAACAGAATTCAGCAAAACTGATAACCTTACCAAAATTTGTAACGAACTTGGCAATTTGCGATTGGGGTTATTTTATCTTGTACCGTGCACGACAATAGTAGAAACATTTATACAAAATCAGCTAGTCTTAAAAGATGGATAAAAATGCTTTCGATGGTTTGCACGAGCATTTAACAAGTTGACACGTAAACGTGTTTTTTTATAAAATCTCACATAATCACATTATTTCAGACATCTCACCAAACGTTGTTAGTTTAAGATTTTAGCATGCTTAAACCAAATAAAATACTATAATTTCGTATTAAGTAAAGAACTTACGTTGTGGATTTCATTAAAAAAAAGTTTTAAAATAGTTAAAAAATTAAACAAATAATATTTTTGTCAGGGTTTACAAAAACAGAAGTATGTACTACAAATTTATCCAATCAAAATATGCAGCTTTCTAAGAAAAATCTCACAAGCAGTGGATCGAAAAAAAATCACCGTTAGTTGAGTCAACGTTACTAATAAGAGCAATCACGAATGATCCACATCACCTACAATCTCATACTTGTCCAACTTCTCTGCATCTACCATCCTTAATATATAGTTGGCAAATGTAGATATTCAAATCGGGATTTTCACAACCACCCATATCAGTACATATGCTTTGGACAATATTGTATCGAAATTGATGAGACAAGAATACAAATGGGATACCTTCAAAAGCGTATATAGTACTAAAAAAAATGAAAAAACTAGAAAAGCTCATTTAATGATAAACTAATGAAAGTAAAGTTGGTATGCATTTAGTTCCCCGTTGATATTTTGTGTGACATGATAGCGTCAATACACAACTGTATCTTTTTTCTCACTATCAGGACAAACAAGTTGAATACCATCTAAAACAAAGCACGAGCTCACAACACTTTTTTCTTTTCTTTTTCTTATATCGAGTACAAAGACTCGCACAAATTGTTTCGAATATATATATATATATATATATATATATATATATATTATGTGATCTTATTGTTAACTATTTCTATGGAGTTGTTATTGGTTATTAAGGAGTTCAATTGTTATAAAAAAACTTAAGAGGACAAGTGGCATTGACTCGTTGCCAGTGAGGCAAGTTGACTTGGCATCCATGCCATGATTTAGAGGCTATTGTGACAACCATGCCATATATTGAGTATCATTACTTCACAATTGTCACACATGCCTTTCATCTCTACTATAAGTTAGTACTAAAAGAATACGTTAATAATGTTTTTTTTTTGTGTTTATCTTTTCAACGTATTTTTGAGGTTTAGGCAAATACAAGTTTTGGTTCTCACAAGGGTAGCTATATGAATACCTAAAAAGGTTAAATTCGAAGCATAGCTGTAAATGCATCTATCTTCCCCTCCTCTCTCTTTCTCTCTTTATATATACATCAGTCCTCTTTCTCTTCTGTACCTCTCTCTCTCTTCCTCGTTGTAGTTCTCGAAATTCTTTTTCAGAGTTTGAACGAGCTCATTATTCAACTTTCGCTAACCTCTCAAAAAGAGAACCATTAATTTGTCCGAGAGTTTCATCAGTTTGGTGCACACACAACACAAGGCTCGTACAACATTCTTCATATGGCTCTTCGCTGCTTATTTCAATCTTCAACAACTTCCTCTCATCTCTCTAAGGTTTGGACTTTACTTCTCCCAATAGAATACTCTATTCCTCTTTTTCTTGGTTCTACACAGTAAGGAAACAACTACAACTTACATAATTGGTTATTATTTATATATATATATATAAAGATATATATATATATATAAAGAAGAAATTTGCTTTGTTTGAAGCTCACATGTGCATGTGACTATTTGGTATGAACATGAATAATACAGATCTGTGGATTTCGTATGCATGGGACAAAAGCAGCAGCTTCTGTTGTAGAAGAACATGTCTCGGAGATGGTGGGGACAGAACGGTAACCTTCCACTTCGAATACAATACGTGTCCTTTCTTTTTTTATTATCACCACATAAAATGTATAAGAAAAACGTAAAAAGCAAAATAAAGAAAAAAGAAAAGAAAGTAAAAAAAAAACAAAAAAAACAGATGCTAGTACTTCTAGTTAAATTAAATATTGTGTGACCTCAAGCCTCAAGGTACCCCGGTCATCAATGTCCTCAAGGTTCAACTTCAAACCATTCTCTTTCAATGAGGGTAAAAAACTGGTGTAACAAAATATAAATTAATAAGGTTATATGTGGCTGCGATTTATAACTGTTTGTATAAAATATCAATATTATTTTCAAAATTCAAATGTGAAATGTGAATGCAAATGCAAATAAACAGAGAATATATTATTTACATTATATATATTTATTTGCGGTTATTAATTATGTTTAATTAAAAATGGAGGAACTGGGGTTTGCATTATGCAATCATAAAACTCCTACACTTTTCAAGTTTAAAAATTACTGTTTGTTCTGAATCTGTCTGTTCTTTTTTGGTTTTGGTCAAACTAAAAATATCTCTGTCCTTATACAAGTTAGCAATTATCATACAAAAAATAAAATAATATAAAGATATATGTAACAGTTTCTTGCGTTGCAGTGAGTATGAAGAGTATGCTGATGTGGATTGGGACAATCTCGGATTCGGTCTTGTACGGACAGATTACATGTTCTCCACCAGAAGTTGCAGAGACGGAAACTTCGAAGATGGTTGCCTTAGCCGTTACGGCAACATCGAGCTTAACCCTGCAGCTGGAATTCTAAACTATGGCCAGGCAAGGCTTCAAATCTCATCCAAAGTCAAAACATATGTCTCATGTATTAAAAAAGATTTTCTGCTGGATTTTTTTGGCAGGGACTAATCGAGGGGATGAAAGCGTACAGAGGAGAAGACGGTAGGATTCTTCTCTTTCGTCCAGAGCTAAATGCGTTGCGTATGAAGAAAGGAGCTGAGAGAATGTGTATGCATTCTCCTTCTGTTCAACAGTTTTTGGAAGGTGCTAAGCAGACCGTTCTTGCAAACAGACGTTGGGTATAACATTTCGATATCTTTTGCTCCTTGAAATGATCTTTGTTTTTACTTTGCCTCAAAGGCTAAAGCTTTTTTTTTCTCCATTAATTAGGTTCCTCCTCCGGGCAAAGGCTCGTTGTATCTCAGACCGTTGTTGTTTGGAAGTGGACCAAGCTTGGGTGTGTCTGCAGCATCAGAGTACACGTTTCTTGTGTTTGGCTCTCCTGTTCAAAACTATTTTAAGGCCAGTGCCTTTTAAAAGGGTTCCTTTCTTCCTTTTTACCACGGAGATCGATATTGATCTTGAATTGGATTGCTTCTACAGGAAGGCACAACCGCGTTGAACCTCTACGTTGAGGAAGTGATTCCACGCGCGTATCTTGGAGGAACTGGTGGCGTTAAGGCCATTTCTAATTACGGTCCAGTAAGTTAAAACACTCAAATCAATCTTTCGGATATGCATTGTTTCAAGCACTGAAGTGTTTTGGTCACAAATGATTGTCTTTTGAGAAAAGGTCCTTGAAGTGATGAGAAGAGCGAAAGCGAGAGGGTTTTCGGATGTTTTGTATCTTGATGCAGAAACTAAGAAGAACGTAGAAGAAGTTTCTGCTTCTAATATATTCCTTGTGAAGGTAAAAGGAAACTCCTCATAAGACAAAAGTTGAATGCTTCTTTTTTAGTGTAAAAGAAACTGAAAGTTTTCTTGAGTCGATTCAGGGGAATACAATAGTGACTCCAGCTACAAACGGGACGATTCTCAGAGGGATCACACGGAAGAGCGTTATCGAAATCGCCCTTGATCTTGGTTACAATGTTAGTTTCATTCCACATCTTTGTTCCTCTAACTCTGTTTCAATTCTCGAGTCAAAACCAGAGATTACTCTGTTTCCATCCCTGAGGCAAAATAAAGCACATACACACTTGGATATTTTCGATAACATACTCCACAAATCAACTAAATACACTTAGGTAGAACAAAATCCACAGCATACTTCACTTGAAATCCAAGAAACAGAGTGTGTTCTGCTCTGTTTCTGCATTTTTCGACTCTGTAGCAATTCTTCTGCATATACAAGTTTTGAAAAGTGTGTGATGGACAGGTGGAAGAACGAAAAGTTCCGGTAGAGGAACTCAAGGAAGCAGAAGAAGTTTTCTGCACTGGAACTGCCACTGGAGTTGCTTCTGTTGGAAGCATCACATTTCAGAACTCAAGGTCTCTTCTTCTTCTTCTTTTTCATATTCATACATACATATGTATGATGTATCTGATTAGGAATCTGTTGATAATTTTGCAGGATCGAGTACAAAGTGGGAGATGGGATTGTTACGCAGCAAATTCGATCGATACTTGTGGGAATACAAACTGGTTCTATCCAAGACACCAAGGATTGGATTGTGCAGATTGACTAAATTTGAGAGGGGAAAATCAAAAATATGGTTATATGTTGCTCTCTTTGATGTGTCAAAAGATTTATTATGACTTTGAAATGGGTGTGGTCCAATGGTCCAATGGTCCATTATAAGTTGTTTGAATCTATTCTTTGCCTATACAAAAATATCAGGATAGAATGATTATCCTTGGTTCGGTTTCCCTTTTGTGATAGTAGATTAACAGAAAATAATATTCGAAGACATCTATATATTGGGCCGTACTTGGGCAACATACAGTCTGTAATTGAAATGTCAAAAACGGCCCAAAAATGCCTACTCATATGGCTACAATCAAACGCCGTTACTGTATCGGCAATGTCAAAGACGGCCCAAAAATCTCAGTTTTTCTTCTTTCTTTCTTACTGAGCCCAGTAACGTGGCTTCGCCACTCCTCGGCCCATTTGTTTCACGCTTTTTCTTTGGTTGATCAGTATCAACTTGATCTAGGGTGGGGATATTTACTTTTCAGGAAAAACAATTTTGTTCTTCTGTAGACTTGCTAGATTCTAGCACAAAATTATCTTAGATTCTTTCATTATATACGACAAATCTGTTTTGAGTTTTTTTTTTTCAAATAAATTAGGTTCGTTGATATTCCACTATGTTTTGTTGTTAACATTTGAAATGGAAAAAAAAAAAACTCGTGAAAGGGAAATAGAGAAGACACTTTTGAAACGACGTTATGGAAAGGGACATTCATGTCTAGTGAGCATCGGAGGAAAAACGTCGTTATCAAATTAAAAAAAAAGTTAAAAAAAAAAGCTATTTCTCTGACGTGGATGTCAATCCTACAATCTCAGAATATTTATCTCAGAATATTTAAATAAAAAACTGTCAAAAATTAATCAATGTGATTGTGTACAGTTCATAAATGAAGTAATAGAATTAGCAGTGGATATGAAAGTATTTTAGTTAGTAGAACATAAATCACATGTATGTTCATATATTCTCTTCCTCCTGATTGATATCTTTGGATCTTTCCATGAATAAGTTTTCAGGGCAAGTTCCAGACTTTATAGGCAACCTTCTAGCACTGAAAGCTCTCAACATTGATTATACAAGCTTCCTGTGTAATAAATCCTTAATATGTTATAAAAAAAAATCTGCATTGTTTTTGAAATATCTGCATACAATATTACAAAAAAAAAAAAAAGTTGAATAGAGAGATAGACGAAGACGTTGGAAAGAAGATGGACGTGGAGAGGGACATGGGCGAGAAAGTTGTTCTCCGACAAAAACCTCTGTGTCTGACGTGGCTATTTCGTCTCGTGTGACGTGTCTAATGTCTATTTCCCAACTCTGGAGCAATAAAATAACATATCGTCATAATTTTTATTTTTTTCAAAATTAATCGATCGTCTACTACTGTGTTATGATGGTATGGGCACCAAAAAATCCGCCATAAATATACAGACATCGCAGTTGCTCAGAATTTTTTAAATACTTTTCATTGAATTGCGCCAACTATTAACTAAAAGTGTGTCCAATTATTTATTCAATCGAATAAAAAATTCGTCACGTGGAAAAATGTCATTTTTTTTTCTTCTTGTTAATAGGGTTTTTCTCTGGATCAATGTCATCTGTTAAGTACTTTTCAAATCTCTTGTAATTTACTTATAACTTATTGGTCACTGTGCAAATGGAAAAATTATCTGAATTTTTACGTTGTATGTACACTTAAAACAAACAAACATTTCAACCCATTTTGTTTGGTATGAAGAAAATACGCTATCCTCATTTTCACCCTTACTATTTTCTTTTCTTAAATAGCACCATTTCCATTTTATCAGATTAAAACGATTTTTTATCGTTTAACTTTTATAATAGTTATATATGCTCATAATCGACAATCGATAAATATAGTTTAGGCAACTCTGCGCAGAAGAAAAACAGAGCTGAATTGATATAATTATACTAGAGTATTCTACAATTCAAAAATAGGATTTTCCATTTGAAGATAACACCACAAATTTTTGTTTCTTCCTTTTTTTTGTTGGTGCTAACCCCAATAAAACGAAACAAGAACAAAGCTCCGTTGATTTCGTTAATTACTAGTTCCAGAGAGACACGTCTAGATCTGATCAGATAGATAGACACAAGTGACGAAGCAGAGGAAAAATAATAATTAATAATAATATAACACAGAGAACAGGATAAGAACTCTTACTAATTTCTTCCACTTTGGAAAAAAAAGAGGAAAATAAAACAAATACAAAGGATTTTGCCATGATGATAAAAGCCGAGACACTTCACCTAAGCTTCGCAATCACTTACGTGTTGGATACATAATTTGACACTCTGCTTGGTTTTTTCTTCTTCACTTTCTTTTTGGTCATCATTCAAGAAATTTCTCTCCTTTTCGTTTTCATTTTTTTGGTTTTTCGTTAAATCAATAGAATCATCATCATCTTTGACAACCAAAAAACAGAGGCTCTGCAATTGTGAAGATGATCAAAACAATCTCAACGCTGCGCAAAAGTCTGGTTCTTCCTCTTCATACACGAATTCGTACGGTATAAACTGGAAATCATCTTTTCTTTATAATGAATCTTTTCCATACAAATCTTCAAATCTCAGGTGCAAACATGTTTTCTGATGAACAGCTGCAAACTTTCTCCAAGTACAACGCACAAGCTGCCTCAGCCTTGCGAGAAGAGCGTAAGAAACCTCTTTATCAGTAAGTTCGGATCCAACCCAAGTTTTTTTTATAAAAAAGTTGCATTTACCATTAGATTTTTTTACACTAGGAAGCTCTGTTTTCACAATCATTGTATCATATTACATAGAGATGCTGAGTATGCGGATTTGGACTGGGATAATCTCGGGTTTGGTCTAACTCCAGCTGATTACATGTACGTCATGAAATGTTCAAAAGACGGCGAATTCACCGAAGGAGAACTTAGTCCCTATGGGAATATTCAGCTAAGTCCTTCTGCTGGAGTCTTAAACTATGGACAGGCAAGCCTCTTGTAGACCCTAAAAATTTTACTGAATGAGTTTCTTAGGTTTTGTCTCTGAGTTGTATGATCAATGGAGGTTTTGGGATTACCCTCAGGCGATATATGAAGGCACAAAAGCATACAGGAACGAAAATGGGAAGCTTCTTTTGTTTCGCCCTGATCAAAACGCTATGCGAATGAAGATTGGCGCTGAACGGATGCTCATGCCTTCTCCTTCGGTTGATCAGTTTGTTCTTGCAGTTAAACAGACGGCTTTTGCAAACAAACGTTGGGTAAAAAACGCTTTCTTGTAATAAATATTATCATCTGAAGAGGTTTCTTTTCAGATCTGAGTGATGTTGTGTGCTGGTCAGGTTCCTCCTTCAGGGAAAGGGTCTCTGTACATTAGGCCTCTGTTGATGGGAAGTGGTCCAATTCTTGGTTTAGGACCTGCACCTGAATATACATTCATTGTCTACGCATCTCCAGTTGGAAACTACTTCAAGGTATATATAAATCCTCTCTTACTCTTCCTGTTCAAGCTTTTTTTCTCAGTGGCAGCAGAACCGATAAGCGAATTTTTTCTCTGCTGGTTTCTAGGAAGGTACCGCTGCTCTTAACCTATATGTTGAGGAAGAGTATGTCCGTGCAGCTCCTGGTGGAGCTGGAGGTGTGAAGAGCATCACAAATTATGCCCCTGTAAGTATTGAAACCCACCCGCTTAGTTTCAAATATCAGAGGCAAAAAGAGTTTTGATAAACCATGTTGTCTAGGTTTTGAAAGCATTGAGCAGAGCCAAGAGCCGGGGGTTTTCAGACGTTCTTTATCTCGACTCTGTCAAGAAGAAGTATCTCGAGGAGGCTTCTTCTTGCAACGTCTTTGTTGTGAAGGTATATATATGTACTTGTGTTGTTTCCAGTAAAGACTCTGAATACCTTTGCTGTAAATGTGTCCTAATATCACTGATACAGGGTCGGACAATCTCAACGCCTGCAACTAATGGAACAATTCTTGAGGGGGTTACTCGGAAAAGTGTGATGGAGATCGCGAGTGATCTAGGTTATAAGGTAGTAGAGAAGGCAGTTCCTGTGGATGAATTAATGGATGCAGATGAAGTTTTCTGCACCGGAACTGCTGTAGGAGTTGCTCCCGTAGGCACTATAACGTACCAAGACAAAAGGTAAAAAAACTCACAATGCCTTGATCAAGTTTTACTCACATCCATAAGCAAAAAGATTTGGCCTGATGTGTATCTTTCTGAACATTCAGAACAGAGTATGAAACAGGGGATGAGTCTGTCTGCCAGAAACTGCGCTCGGCACTTGTCAGTATTCAGACAGGAGTGACTGAAGATACCAAAGGATGGGTCACATGTCTCAACTGAGAAACCATTTATCATCAACCATTTGGTTGCCACGAAGATATTACTCTCTGCATTATAAGCTGTGTATACACAAAAATGAAGGAACAGTCATGTAAATCTATATTATGAGACAGAAACAGAAAGCTCTTTTGCTCCTTTATATTTAGTAATATCATTGTCTATGTAACAAAACTATGAAAAAGAATTCTTCCTCTTGTACGCACAAGTAACAGAGCATAGTTTCATTTCCTCCTCTCCAGTAACTATAAAATTCACATTTCTTTTTCTTTCCGGAGAGTAACAAATGTCTGTTTCACCACATGCTCTTTTTAGAATTTGGAATGATACAGCTTCTTCTTCAAGTATATCTATGTTCGTTTGTAGATCTCGGCAAATCCAGGGGAATAGCGATTTGGTGAAGCACTGGGACATGATTTCACCTCATGATCTTGACTAGATTTATTCGTCCACATTTCTTCCGCTTCGAGATTCTCTTTCTCTGGCTTGAGCTGTTGAGAAGCTGGTAACTCCTGATCAGCACAAGGGGGACTGCATCCGTCTTTGCTCGATGATTCCGCAGAACACAAAGGTATCTGAGAGTAAGCAGCTTTCAAGTTGTTATGCCACTCTTCCATCTTTCCTGTGGCCTCATCTTCTCTGTCCATAGCGATAAGAGCCTGAAAAGAAACTCACCCATCAACAATAAGGTCGATCCCACGAGATGCAGGTTAAAAAAATTTATATTACCTCGGCCGGATATTTCTTAAATATGGGAGCAAACCTCTGCCGACAATACTCACTAAATAGAAGAGTGAGAAGAATCAATGGAATGGTGAAACCTGAAGCAACCGTTGATAGCTTTAGACCGAAAAATCCCAGAGCTATAACTTGCGACAAGATCAGTGAAAAGATCGTCGTGTTGTGAAAAACAGGCCAATATTGTCCACCGCTTTCATATTTTGTGATATAGACGTTGATTATCTGCAGAAGAAGAAACGGAGCTTATTGGCCACTACAAGATGAGATCCTATCAATGTAAAAGAGAACAGAGCAGATTTGAGGATAAAGAGCGTACCTGGTTTTTGTAGATAAGATACGCGAAAAAGAAGTAGATGAGCAGGAACGGCAGAATCAGAGGGGCGATGACTGAATTGGTGAAACCCAAGAGGCCGAACAAAAGCAGCCGTGGGATTTCAGTATGGTAAGGAAACCGAAGAGTTTCATATGAGCCATCCTTGTTCTTGATACAAACTTTGACTATCAGGTTCCAGATAAGACCCACAGGTTGCATGATTTCACATGCCAAACCAGCCCAACCAGAGGTGAAACAGTAGGTCATGAAGAAGCCAGCCTGCACATATAGTCATATCATTTGCTTATATTTCTCAGAATCGAAAATGCCATGGGAGGTCCAGCATGAGAATGATTCAATTACCTGTGTTGGAACGGCTTGCGCAAGTTGTGCAGGTAAGTCCCTCACACTAGAGAAGACGCTCAACTGCCTAATAACAGAGCCTGATAGAATGTTGACAAAGAACACATTCCAGATGGTGAAGTATAAGATCTTGATGCATGCGCTTTTCTTTCTTATACTCCGAGATATACATCCCTCCAAGGTTGAAAAGTACATCATCAATGGTGGAACCGTATAAAAGAACAAAACCAGTATCACACTCGGTAAGTACCCTGTGATGACCTGCCTCATAAACTTCCTGCAATGTTTTTTCAAAAGGGGTGATTAAACTAAAAGATGCTGAAAAAACAAATCAATTGCTGAGTAGGAAAACTGCTAAAAACTCACCTTTCCAAGAGATCTCTTAGGAAAGGTAAATTCTTAGTCAGCGTTGGTAGTTGAGTCAGGGTTTGGATGCCCGTAACAGGAAGAAGAAACACAAACATGAAGGCAATAGCACCAACAAGGGTTGCTATTTTCCGCATCCAAAGTTGCCGATAAGGTACTTTCAGATTCTTCCAGTAAACATCATGAGGCTCTGGGGCTAAGTCTGCCACCCATAACATTGGATTTGGTGTTTGAAGTACCTCCGAGACAACAAGAGCATCATAACGAGTCTTGAAAAACACAAAAGCCACGGGACGTTCCTGTATAAATGAGCACACAACTTTAAGCCTTACAAGTACTTATTCAAGGTCCGTTAAAATTATCAATGTGCCTTTTACATGATCATGACTTTTTCAAAGCGAAAGAATTTCTTACTTCCTCCGGCGTAGTCAAATTCAACTCACCAAGCGCCAGTTTTCTGACACTGTCTGCATCGTTAGGGAGGATTTGAAAAGAATTTGTGGCTGCAGGCCCTCCACTGCATGACTTCAAACTAATATTACAGCTTACATCAGGAGACACATGTTTTATAGCCTGAACCATCCTATCCGCATCATTCTGAGATAGAAAATTGACATCATTAAATAAAAATTGTGCTCCAAAACACACCACTGCACTTCAACTATATGTTATTTAGCAAATTTCGTTCCATTTAAAATGCTGGCAGATAATTAACAAGAAACTCGTGTAATATTACAACCGCAAGATCGGAAATCATGAGCTATATATAAGTGTTACTAATGAGACAAATAAAATGAAGTTTGTACTCCAAGAATGGCATCAAAAATATAATCCTCTGGAACTTCCTATATCTTTAACTGATACAGGAATATCAATTATATATTTATAATGAGTAACTGTTCAGTAATTTTATCAAACTTAGATGCCATCATCAAATGAAGAAGCAGTTATACATCCGAGACCAGGACGTGTTATAGTGAGAATCATAAAAAGAAGAAGAAGCATGTAATAGCGTAAAAAAGGTTTAAATCAATTCAAGGACATAGAGCACTAACAGCTTTCTTTTAATATTATAGGAGAGTCATATTCCACGAAGAGGTATTAGCCGAATAAATTAATTCCTAATCCGATAGAAAACAAGACAAAAAGACAAGTGGCTGATAATTAAGTCAACAAGTTGCAAATAATAAATCAAAAGGCATACCAGAAGTCTCTGAATGATGCCATCACGGTAGACCATTAAGTGCGACAAGTAGCTTGGTGCATAGTAATTTGAGAAGTATTTGCTAACTGTTTCGCTGTACGATTGCTCGGGAGACTGAGGAACCGCACGCATAAGAATGGTGAAATGACTTGGCTTTGAGGCAGATCCGTTGATATATGCAAGCCTCTTCTTGGCTATGGACTTATACTCCTACAGCGGCGAAACACGTATACACAAGAGTGAGACCAAAACGATGGATCATAGAGAAACAGTATGTGTCACATGAACCAGGGCATGGTGATCCTCACAAAGTAAAGAAGAGCACATGCCGCAGAGGATATGATGTACAATGAGAGACAATGAACCCACAGCCTGGAAAATGAAACAAGAGTGAACAAGAATCAGAGAAACATAATATCAAGTAGAAGTAGAGTTTATCTGACAACACTAGTGGAGCAATGGCGCCATTACCATCTTGAGCGTTGGTTAAGGTTTTCGATTGTGAATATCCCCAATGACTCCAGATGCACTTCCTTGTGCGCCATCTTTTGTCCGTAATAGTTGACAGGCAGAACGAAGGAGATGCAAACCACTGCAACGATTGAGAATATACGAATGCTGCAAATGACCATCCTGATGAAAACCACAGCATCGAGACCAGCAGCGGCCAACATCTCTTCCTCTGTAGTTTCCCAAGCTTTCAAGATCCAACTTGGAGAAGGTGCAAACCTCTCGTACCAAAGAGGATCATGGCGTTTCACTCTTCCAGAGGAAAGCAAGCGGCCAAAGTAAACACAGTAATTGGCCGGCTGCTTTCTTAGTATGGAGTAGAGCGACACAAGCACTATGCATATCGCAATGTTAATCCCAGCAGACGTTAAGAGTGCTGAGATATCCATCTCGAATTCGCTTCAACCTCCTAAACAATGAAGGCGGAGAAGAACATAATAGCTGTTTAATGTCCACGGCGGGCGCAAGCAGATGGCTCACTAACGAGACCAGCAGGAACTTAGGTCGTTAAAAGATCTGTAAAGAACAACAAAAATTGAAAGTGATTCAAAATCCTGTGAGCCATGGCAGATGCTTAAAGAGGCCATGAAGCAAGTGGCAATGTTGAAACTTAGAAATCTAGCAACTAGAAGCATGAGTGTTATTTTTCTTAAAACTAATACAATTCAAGCATTATCATCAGTCGTAAACACACGAATTACGAGAGAAGGGAAGAAAAAATTAGCCTAAAAGATTTTCCAAGTTGGAGCAATCCACGACGGAATCAAAATCTAATTGAACTCTTACAGATTCCGGGGATGAATAAGTAAGACGATGAACCACAATTTGATCGAACTAAAAAAAAAAGAGGCTTAAAAAACCCAGAACATGAAGAACAGGGGAATCCAATTAGACAAGAGCCAGAGAAAACACAGTCATTTGATTCCCGCGGAGAACTCAATACAACAATCCAAATGATGAGATTCGATCAAAAATTTGCAGGACGAATTTGAGGTAAAATCAACAGGAAAAGAACTCGCAAATCATTCGAACAAAATCACCCGAAAAAAAAAACGATAATTTCGAACAATACTTACATTGAAGAAAAGGCCAACACTTTGCTTTGACTTGAAAAGAAAGACAAAAACCCGAAGAATCAGAAACCCTAAATTGTTCTCTAGTTGAAAGAAAAAAATCCCGATGTTCCTGATAACTGAATTCCGCGGAGAATTCGCGTTCAGGTTCGAAAACTTTGCAATATGCAAAAGTCGACAAATTAATTAAACACTAAAACAGCAAAAATAGATAATTATTAGGTGAGGATAATCATCTAGACGGAAAGATGATAACAGAAAAATCATACTATAACAAAAATACAGAACAAAAAATAATAATAATTAGACGAAGAATTCCACGTTGGGTGTGGTGTAAATGTGGAAGCTGCCAGATCATGTGACGTGGCAGAACGAGAATGGTCGAGGCTAGTACCACGTCGCCAAAGTCTTACTAGCGTGTGACAACGACTACCATGTCGGCGAATTCATAACCGTTCGATCTTTATGGATTTGATATCGTTATGACACGTGGTATTTCACACCGTCAGTTTAAAACGATTTCGCCCGGGAAAAAAAATAAAGGTAAATATCTAATCCATGTATTATTAGCGTGGTGAGAGCGTGAGACCCCATGACTAAGACCAGACATTCCTTTAACTATATTTAGATTTAATGATTTATACATGCTTTATGCGGTAAATGCATGTAACTTAATGCTGCTGTATGCATGTAATCGATATGCTGAGATGGAACTCTATAACCGATATGCTGAGACTGATATTTTTAATTCATTTTATTGGGATTACAATTACTCAAGGTTTTAAGAATTTTTACCGTCTCACCGATTAGACCAAAAATTGACCGATTAATTTGTGCCTAATGCCTAATACTTTTTGGTTAGATCGGTCACGTTTTCTTGTTCGCTCCTTACATTTTTGTCTGAAATGACTTTTTTTCAAAAGACTGATATATAATCCTCTTACTTAAATGATACAAGTAGAAACCGTAAACAGCAAGAAATAATATGTATTTTACAAAAGAAAAGAAATATGTTGCTATTTAAGAAAAGGAATGATAAAGATATATTTTGTCATAGCACTAAGCACAATGGGTAAGAAACACATTTTGTATTAAAATTATGTGACTCGAAACCGATTCGGGACGCATCATATATTTCTGCAACATGTTTTATGTTATATATATATATATATTTTTTTAAACATGTTTTATCTTTATGTGGGCATCATCCAAAGTTATTAAATTAATGTACATGTTCCTAGTAGATTTTCGTTGTAGCTTTATAGGTACATAAAGAAACTTTTTAATTTTTTTTGAAGAAGAAGAGGAATAGATTTCAGATTCTAAGCTAACTCAAAATTTTGAAATGATGCCCCACACTGATGGTAAAAATTCTCAAGAATTTGACTTCGATAAAAATGTTAAGAAACTAGCTATGGTCAATACTTCAAAAATCTAAATCGCATTTTTGTTTGCAGACATGTGGCTAATTTGACTTCGACAAAAATGTAAATTTTTGAAATGTTGTTTCATTATAATGGACAACTATTTTTTTGTGATTTTCAAAGTATATGTCATTAGGTTTATGTGCACATGTTGGACAATTGTTTAAAAAAATTAAAGGTTATTTGCTAAGATATGAAAATAAAAATCAATGATGTTAGACTGTTAGTAATTCATCGGTCAAATGTCAGATTCGTTCATATGAATTGGTTAGTATTCAATATATTTTGAAAATTTTTTTTAAAGGAATTCAGCAAAAAAATTGAAATAAAGTATTATTGAGTCCATAATATCTCTGCTAACAGTTTACAGTCATTGTCGAAATGATGAAAATATCCTTTCGTTGGGGAAGTGGATGGTTCCCTACATCCTGCAGTTGCCGATGGAATGTCACATTTGATACTACCAACTCATTGGTACATCAGTTTCAGTGGAACTTTTTGTTCTCTGAAGAGCAATCTAAAAAAGAAGAAATCTGTTAAAACAAAAAAGGCATCTGAATTGGATAATCCAAATAAGGAACGTATCATCTGTGGTAAAAAAAATTGAAATGTTTTTTCACAAAAGTCAATAAGAAACGCTCCGTAAAAGTAACTGCCACTAAAATTACATTGACCAATCTATGATAGAATCTTATTTTCCTTTGCTTAGATATATTTCTTCCATTGTGTGAAGAGAAGTCCACCACCTGTCCATTGTATGCAAAGAAGCCCAGCACCTCATCATCACATCGTTCTGAACTCAAGCTTTTCCAATGGACTCAATCATTGGTCTGGAAGAGGTTGCAATCTTAGGTTACATGAGTCTCTAGCTGATGGGAAGATGCTACCGCATTTTGGAACTTGTTTTGCTTTGCAAGAGCAGAATTGAGCAGGATATAACAAAGAGAGTCCAGCGCAACCTCTTTTGTGAGGCTTCTTCTGTTGTTCGGCTATCGCATAGCTATCACATCGTGACGTTCAATACCCTGACCAACGTGAAGAGTACATAGGCATTTCCACGTGCGCTTTGCAACCATTTCTGTCTTTTTTTTAAAACAGAAAGGTATCATCCGATCAAACAATGTTGAAGAAATTTCCCTATGTTCAATTTTATGAACAATATTTCTTTCATATAATTAGATAGTATAATTAAAAAGACTTAGATGAAGAGAAAACACATTGGCTATATGACAGATAATACATATAGTACTCAATATTAATCCCCAATTTATTTAAATGCATGGAAATTTCATTGTGCCAATTAATGAATTTCGTCGTCCATTGTATGTATCATCAATAATTAGCTTAAATTTAAATGTTGTAACCGGATTATATGAATATTATTCCGACAATGAAGCTGCATTGTGAGTCTTCCAGTCTTCCAGATATTGGTCCCCTTCTTTCCTACAATTATTTACTGTAAAAAAAAACAATCCAGTATATTTTTAGCCTATTTTCTCAGTAATTTTAAAAATTCAATAGTTGAAATTTGGGAGACTTTCTATTTTTACACACAAAAAAAAACAAGAAATGAGGAAAAAAAATCCAAGGAACGAAGAAATCATCAACCAACAAAATCTGAATCATTTGATCAAAAACTCTCTTCCTATTTTAACTTTCCTTGAATCGAAAGAAACCCTATAGGCCTGCATTTTTTGTTTATATCTCTTTCGTTAATTCGACAAATCTTGATGATACCATTAACGCATTATCTAGAGAGACCTCTACAATGTCTGAAATTTATTAATATCTGGAATCTCCGTGGGATTTTAAACCCATTTTGGTCGGATCCCAAAGTACATGAAAATCAAAAATTGAATATGTATATGACTTCATTGTAATATGTGCCGATGGCATAGTAGTCGAAACTATATCTGTGGTGTATCCAAATTTCTGATGATTTTTCATAACTTCATCTCATATTCGATGATTTAAGAAAAGGAAAGTGTACGTTGAGTTTTCCTTTTCCCTGAGGGTTTTTTTCCTTTTCCTGTTTATTGGTGAGATTACTTGTAGTATTCTATAAATATAAGCATCTGTTTCAAGTTTCGTCAATATGGCTCTACTCTGCAAATTGCAATCATCAGAACAAGAATGTTGTGGAAAAAACAACGCTGCTGCTTGAGGATACCATCGCTGCCCCACGACGTCGTAGAGCTCATCCTGGAGAGAGTTCCGGTAAAGTCTCTGGGGAGATTCAAGGCGGTGTCGAAGCAATGGAAATCAACGATCGAAGATCCATTCTTCCAGCATAGACAGTTGAAGCAGCGTCAGCAGTCCGGAGATCCAGATGTTCTCATGGTGTCGGTACATCGCTCCGATGATATCGACTACAAGGACATGGAAACTCTAAGTACACTGGTGTTGGGTTCAACAGCGACGGTCAATATCCCTATTCCTTGGGAGAAGAAAATACACTTAGCTTCCGTTGGTGGCTGCTGCGGATTCTTAGCTTCCTATGGTAGCTGCGACGGTCTCGTTTGTCTCTACAGCCACTTCTTTGCCGGTTTTGTGGTCAATCCCACCACCAGATGGTATCGCCCTCTTCCTCTCTGCCAAATGCAACAACTCATCGCCGACTTAGGACTGGATGCTTACATGGACCTTGGACACGATTTCTCAAATCTTGGGTTCGGTAAAGACAGATTCACGGGCACATACAAGCCCGTTTGGCTGTACAACTCTTCAGAGAAGGCTACTACATGCGAAGTTTTCGACTTTACCACCAACGCCTGGAGGTATGTTACTCCCGCTGCTCCTTGTCGTGTTGTTGGTCCCCTCGATCCCGTGTTTGTAGATGGCTCGCTCCATTGGTTCACCGCTTGCGAAGAAACCAAAGTTGTATCCTTCGATCATCACACCGAAGCCTTTCATGTCATCTGTAAAGCTCCCTTTGCCAATGTACATCCTTCCAAGATGGGCATGTGCAACCTCGACGACCGCTTGTGCGTTTCCGAGATGAAGTGGCCCAACCAAGTGATCTGGTCGCTCAATTCAGGCACCAAGACATGGGACAAGTTCTGTTCCATCGATCTGCAGGTAACTTCTCATTGGTTTGGTAATCTACATGGCCCGCTCGCTCCACTAACACTTTTCCATGGGGAGGAGGAGAAGAAGATGCTGTTTCATAACCGTGGGTTGAGTAAAACGCTGCTGGTACATGATCTCGAAACCGGATCATATCATGCTGCCTTCGATGCTGAATCCATCGGGGAGCCTGTTTGTTATTTCCAGAGTTTAATCTCTATTTCATAAATTTTGATTGTTGTCAATGCATAATGATGTAACATTTGTCCATCGACCGTCTTTTTTGTTTGTTTGTCCAAGTTTGCAACTCTTAAAGATATGATGATTATGGTCCAGACTCTTGTGTTAATCTCAGTCAGAATTGATGAAGGCGTTTCAATTTATCACCATCTATTAAGTAAAAACTTTGCGAGACAATTTAAAGACTTGACTTACAAAATGTGTTGCTTATAGTTTTAAACCTGCGTAGACACTTACTTTACTTCCCAATAAAAATCTGATATTCATAAAACTATGTATTCTTTGATTCCATATTCAATAGATGCAGTCTTCGTTGAGGAGGAAAAAACAACAACAACAACAACTGAGAATCCAAATCCTTCTGGTTTTTTTAGAAAAATAATAACATGGAAGAACAGATATGATACTTAGGACCAAAGCCATCTTCTATACAAACTCTCTGCAAATTTTCCTTGAACTCATCCTCCTTGATGTACTAGAGCTCTGGTTTCAATCGACCTACGGTAACAAGAAACCAACAATAAAAACCCCCAAGAATAAGAAGAAGGAAAAGACAGAGAGATGAGAGAAGCATGTTTGTGTAGCTTTAGTTACCATTAGGTGAGAAACTGGACATAGTCGATGGATTTGAGACGAACCCCATTTGGTAGAGGCTTTGTAGATCACTCTCTAGTGTTGTCTGTAGGAAGAGATAAGAAAGAGACGTGTAAGAAGAATACAGTATGTATTTCCACAGTTATGCCAAAACAGTGAACATGATGATGTTGTTTCTTCTAACATATTTGCTTGCCTGAGGTAATGTGTTGTATTGTGGATTTGTGGTGGTAGAAACGTTCGGTATCGTCCCTTGAAAACCGGTGAAAGGATTCAGCCCGAGTGTAGGAGCGTTTCTGTCTCTTGATTGCAGAAGCTGAAACGAGAAAATGCAGGTTTATTACTCAATCACAACAGCTTGCACTGTGAAGCTTTAAAAGGGAGGTTTTGATCTCTTACATCTTTGGCGAGGATCCTGTCTATATCAATGTTGATTTCTGGATTCACCGTCGCAAGTTTCATAGACAAAAACTGGAGAAACAACAAAAGCAGTTTTTTAAGAATCCAAACACCTCTTTCAGACCATACTACCGTGAGCAAAACTAACTTGAGCGTTTCAAAAGAATCTCGCATTATTCTTACCTCAACTTGTTGTTGCAATGACTGAACATAGTTTATGATTTCATCGAGCATAACCGCTTTCCCGGTGATCTAGTTGAACAATTATCAGCAACGAAAACCTTCAGCAAAGCCTTATTCGGAAATCAAACGAAGTTAAACTGCTAAAAAGCCATCTTTAAGTCCAATACCTTGTTGCATCCCGGAACAAGCTCTTGAAGCAGTCTCATCCTTTCGCTGATCTTTTCTCTTCTAACCTTCAGACACCAAATGAAACAGCAAACGAAAACGCAAACTTCTCAGAACCAGTTACTGGCAGAAAACAAAGAGCAGGTTCCAATAATCAATAACGTTTTAGGTAAAAGAGTCATTTACCCTTTCTGCAAGACTGTGACTATTAGTGGCTTGACCTCTTCTTGCCCTCATATGAATATAGTTTTCTTTCGGTGCTTCTTCGCTCTGTGAACTCTCCTTGTTCATCGTCTCTTTACTCTGATCGCTTTTGTGTTTCTTCTGGCTCTGATCACTTCCCCTTTGAGGCTCTTCTTGATATTCCTCCACAGCTTTCTGCCAATTCAACAACGCTAACTTTGTCTCAGCACAAGCCACTTCAAAAGCTTCAGCCTCATTTCTAATTGTTCTCATCAGATGAGAATCAAAACCCTGGAACCTAATGCTACAAAACCAAACTTACCTTGTTCCGTTGTGATTCAGCTTCTGGTTGCCTTCTTTTTCTACTTGGGGAAGCACCAAGAACACCATCACCTGAAACCTGACGATGATCCTCATGATGCGTCTCTCCTGCTCCGATCAATCTTCCAACATTTTCCCCTTTCTTGTCTGAACCAAGGAAACGACCAATTTGACCACCACCTCCACAATCACCAAACGGAAGAAGACTCGCAGTCATGTCCGGATAACCCGAACCGGGTGGGTAATGAGGGAAGCAACTCATCCCTGGATTGTCCATCGCCATCGGAGGGTAATGGGAGCTTGAGAAGCCACCACCATTGACAACTGGATCCCAATCTGCAGAAGAGAAGAAAGGATCTGCTTTTCCATACAAGGGCATTGATGTGATCCCAACTCTTGAGATCCCACTCTCATCATCTCCATGCTTAAACCCCATCTCACCTTCATTACTCTCTCCACCCATTCCTCTGATTCAACCCTCAAAATAATTTTTTCCAATTTCAAAACTTGGTTTGCTTCTTTGCAAGACTTGTCAAGGAACTTATACAGTGGGAAAGAGAGAGAGAGAGAGAAAGAGAGATAATTTTAAAGATAAAAGAAAAGAAAAAACAAATCAACAGAGCATCAAATCTAATGTAGCAGAAGCAAGTCACAGGTTCTTTTAGGAAAGAGAAATGAAGAGAACCCTAGGATAAATGCTTATTCGTACTCAAGTCAAGCGAAGAAAATACATATTAAAGAGAACAATAGACTTATCACAGACAAAGAAAGCTGAGAACTTTCAGAGCATAAAGTGGTAACAAGCAATGGATTTAGCTAAGTTACAGCTCACAGGAGCTTATGAAGGGAGAGGAAAACCAGAAAAAAAAAAGGAAAATAAAAAGGAAAAGTAGATTCGCTTTTAAGAGTGTGAGAGAGCAGAGTCACTGTCTCATAACCAATCGCTTCGGCTTCAAGAGGGATAATGATATAAAAAAGGTTTGGTCTTTCACAGACAAAAACAAAAACCCAGATGAATGTGAGCTTGTGAGATCAGAGAAGCAAGAATTTGGAATTTAAAATGAAGGAAATTGACACTACTCGATTGGATAGCATCAAGTTGTTAGGATCAGAGAAGCAATAATTTGGGAATTGATAAATGGAATAAAATTGAGACAAACCCTGTTTGAGATACTCCAAGATTGTGGTGCCCTTCGAAAGAGTACAAAAGAAGAATCAAATTCTTCGGTGGGAATTTACGTTTTTACAGTAAAACCTAATTCAGATAAATAAGGGAAGAAATGGTACACTCGATTGAAAGGGTATCAAATGCTGTTTTTGCTTGAATTGGGGAGAATGAAGAATTTCAGTGGGAAAACAAAAAACGAGAGATTCACAAGTTGGGTACTTGAACAAACAACAAAGCAAGCATCAAGTTCCAATCTTTATAGAATCAAAGAAACAGTAATAATAATTGTGTTTAATGACAATAAAAGACCTAGAGAAAAAGAAGAAGAAAAAAAGCTGATACTGTAATTAGCATTGGAGAGGAGAGAGAGAGAGAGAGCTGTTGAAGTTAACACTAAACAGAGGAGACATAATATGATTATTAAAACAAAGACAGAACAAACTACTGCCAACTGCTTTATTTGCTCTTTTCTTTTTCATTATTACACAACCTAATCTACCTCTTTAGCATGTCTCTAACTTTTCTTTCTCTTACTTTTTTGTTAAATACATGTCTTAACTTTAACACCTTGTAAGTGTTTAAATTACAGTAATTTGCCCTTTGGGTTTTTCGTTCACACTTTTATTTGTTTCTCACACAAGAAAGTCACATTATATAAATATAGACCCATCTGTCATAAATAAATCTGAGTTCAATATATAAATCATTCAATGCATTTAAGTAGATATCATTATAAGGGAAAAAGATTAATGTAAGATTATATATGGATTCAACATTTTCAAATATATAAAACAGTGTAAATTTACCATGCTTGCGATCAAATTCTCAAGACAATATTAAAAAGTCTCGCTTGTTTTTCTTATTTATCTCAAAGTCTCATTGTACAAGCAAGAGGTTCTTCTCTTCATGCCCAAGCTTTGCTTTCTAGCTTCTACTCTGACATGTGCTTTAGAATATTATAACATACAATAAGTACACACATACATGCATGAATATAGCATATATGATTATGTGTTGATAATATTATTTTTACTGACAGAAATTGCCAACTATATATTCTAACAGAAGACTCTTTGCTGTGACACACTCATATTTTTGTTCTGAGTGCCAACTAACCCTCCTTCGGAATAATTTTCCGCTCAGCTTTTCTAACAGCCGTGTGATTAAACAACTACGTTGAGATCTCATCTCTACGCCGTTGGATCCAAGCAACATATTTTTATTCTCTTTTTACTATTTTATTAATATTACAGTATGAATTTATTTTTTAGTCTCATTCTCTAATAAGGGTTTTTTGCAGGGAGGTTAAAACTCATTTGAATAAGGTTGTGATCACAGACTACTTTCTTTGTTTCTCAGAATTAAAAGGTAATATGAAAGTCGACCAAAAGAAAAGGGTAATTTGAAAATTTCTAAAGTAAGTGGAATATGGCACGAGGCACACATACTGTTTGTTTTTTTGTATGTATTACCAATATTGCTACTAGACAAGAAAAAAAAAAAAAATTTAACAGAAGAAACATCGTGCTTTGTTGAAATTGAAGTTATGAATGGTACAGTGCGTAAAGTTTATGAGGATCCTCAAATCTAGGTGATACTATTTGGTTGTGTTGTCATTTTCCGAAAACAAGCAAATGGCAAGACTTTTGACAATTTCTAAACATTTTACTCGTCTTCTATTTCTCGGGAAGTATTTTTAGAATTACTCATAAAATTATTGAAGATGGTGTAGCAACTAGCAAGAAGCTAACAATCGCATCTTGTTACGGAATGCTAACTGATTGTATGAACTACGAAGCACACAAAATAACAGAAACTTTTTTTTTGGTCAACAAAATAATCCTAGATTAGTACAAAGTACATAATACAAAATAGTATACATCAGTGTCATAGGAGGAAACATAAGGAATAAAAGGGAATCTAACGATAAAAGAAAACTAATTAGTAATTTAAAATATGTATATATAAAGTCGAGTTACAGCTGTTTATAAGACTTGGACACACTAGTGTGTTTCGTACTACTGTACTAGTTCTTATAGGCATGGGATAACTAACCCCCAACAACCAATAAATCATGGTCCAAATTTTAATTATTTTGGTCAAACCCACAATCATAGTTGTTAATTAGCTGTATGTATAAACGCGGTTGCCTACACAAGTTTTTATAGTACAAAATAATTCAGATTTTTTCAAACTTCTCTGAACATTTATAGAGAATAAAATATATTGTCATATGTATTTACCAATGTAATTAGGTTGGGAAAATAAAATTATTCATTCAACTTGGAAATGCTTCTCATCATTGCAAACAAGGTAGAAGAATTAAGACCCAACCAAATTATGATGGATGAGACTTGTACACAACTCATCCTATATTACTCCAAATAATTTAGATGGGACCACACTAAACATATACATACTGTATGTTAGAAACTGTAAATAAAATGATTATTACGGTAAATTTTTGTTTTAAACGAATCTTTAATTATAAATATAAAAATATCAATTCAATTGACGAATTAAGGTAAACAATTTTTACCATCAACGTCGATTATGACATACAAGTAAAACAATAGAGAAATTGATTCAGTGTTCAGTAGAAATCTAAATAAAAAAGCTATCTTCACATCAAATTTGATCACTGCACTTTCAAGTTACAAACATCACATCTTAGATGTGTAATAGTTGTATAATTACCAATGTATAAATATAATATCTTTTAATATCCGTTTCATGTGCTGTAAAAGAACAATGACACACGTAGAAAGTGGGTAAAGGAATGATTAAGAAACCTTAATGGAGTTGGTTAAATGAAAGATAGATATATATATAAGCTTCTTATAAAAAGCCATTTTAATCAAAAATTGAGAGAATATGTTAAACTTGATTAGAGTGAAGCCAACTAAAGCGAGAAGATCCTCCGACCACGCGCGAGGACTACTTATGTGGACCCTCTTTTAACTAAAACTACAATGGCCCACAAGAAGTGGGTGTGGTCCATACTCTTTTATTTGCAATGATGCTCAAGATTCCTAGTATCTTTAACATGATCGCATATCATAAACACATCTTTGTGTTCTTAATCTAAGCATAACAATCCGGTGTACATATAATTAAAATAAATCGTATAGTTTAGAAATAAAGCCTGACCAAACTCAGAGATGTGAATTAAGACCAAAATATCAAGTCAAGACCGGTTTCTCAAACGTGTCTTCTTGTAAGTAGACCGTGTTTAATTTACGATCACTTAATTTAGGGTTAATATGTGTGTAGTAGTTACTGTAGACTATTCTGGAATAGCTCTGGAATTGATCCATTGTATATACACATTGTTGGTATGGTTCATCTGTAGAGGCATACACAATGAATCATAAGCTCTAGTAACAAAATATTTGTAAAATTGCAAAGTTGATGTTTTTTAATTTATTTCCCAATGAGTGTAACTCTAAATGGGCCTCACGTGAGGAAGCCTACCCGCTAATTCATGAAAAGTGTGTCCTCTCTCTCTCTTTCTCTCGGCACTTGACTTTCACACTCGCAGCGATCGGACGGAGAAGGAAGCTCATGGAACGGAAGCTGGCGTTACAACTTCTCATCTTCTCTAGTCTTTAGATTTCAGCTCATTTTCCTCGCCGCCCATCGACGTTGTGGGATTTTCACTCCCTAAATCAAAATCTACTGTTTCCCCCCCAACATGGAAGACGCCTACGCCAGATCTGTCACAGAGGTGCTTCGCATTTCACTTCTCACTCTCTTCATTTTTACAGTTTTTGTCGGATTCGAAATGCGTAAGATTTGACTGATGTGATTGCGATCGCATGTAACCACTACAAACCGGTGATGATGTTCCGGGGGAACTGTTTCACTGTGTCTGGGAGTAAAATCTCTTGTCTTGGAGGCCTCTGTTAGGTGTTGATGGGTTTCTGTTGTTTCTGCAGGTGCTTGATTTCTTTGGGGTGGACCCAACGAAGGGCCTCTCTGATTCTCAGGTATGATTCTGTATCCGAATTGCGATCTCCATTTTTTTGGAGAACTTGGAATTTGAAACCTCAACTTGTTACAGTCACCATGAAGCTAAAATTTAATTAGCCCTTGATGGATGGCGCAAAATTGATCCTTGGTTTCCATATTTGCAGGTTGATCATCACTCTAGGCTTTTCGGCAGGAATGGTATGTATTATCACTTCCATTTCACATGCACTTTTCTAGATTTGGTTTTCAAATTAAAGGATCACTCAAGGACACATGGGGATTCACTGCAGATAGGGTGTCTTGGTGTTAATTGTTCTTTTCAGTGAAGCATATGGAATTTAAGCGAGCTGTAGATTATAGTATTGGCATGTAATTTTAAGCTCTAGCATTGCATATTACTTGTCAAGTACACCGACTACTAAATTTGTTGTTACCTTTGCTTGTACAGTCCGTAGGAATTCCAATATTGATGCACTGTGTGAGTGTTCTTGAGTAAAATATCCTGCATATGATTGTCTGAGCGATTCATAATTTGACACTTCGTGAAATTAGTCTGCTTTAAGTGGAAAGAGCATACCTTTTTCATATATTTATTTTCTTGTTAGTTCTGATCCCATCTTTCTAATGTTTTTGCATGTCTTTTCACATGATCTGCAGTACTGCCCGAAGAGAAAAGTAAGTTTGTCAATACTTGTCTTTAAAATTCATCATTACTTTCATTATCATATGTGCTTAGAGGTTCACTGAAAAAGGTGTCACTTTTGTTTTAGTTATGATAGCTCTTAAATTGTTTTAGCGCTGTGATGATTTATCCAATTTTCGAATTGGATTTCATTTTTTGCTTTCACGTGTTCATTCTGGTTCATTTGTGTAGAATAGAGCTGTTCTATTACAAAAGTACCCTTAGCTCCTTTGGAGATGGTCTTAGCTGATCGTGTTAGATCTTCCTTATACTTCTTCTTACACATGGACCTAGCCTTTTCTAATGATGTTACCTCGGAGGAGGATTTAGTACTCCCCTGAATTGCGCCAATTTCTTAATTCACTTCTTCTTAACTGCACGCAGGAACTCCATTCTGGAAACTAGTTCTGAAACAATTTGATGATTTACTTGTTAAGATATTGATTGTGGCTGCAATTGTCTCTTTCGTTTTGGCTTTGGCAAATGGAGAGACTGGTTTAACAGCATTTCTGGAGCCTTTTGTAAGTCGCAATATCCTTTTTTTGCCACTCACACTGGCTTTCATATAATAGTTGCTGGTTAACATCTTTTATTTTGTCAGCTGGATCCCCTAGTGGTTCTTTGTGGTGGAGCTTAAAGTTGAAACCTTGTTTTCATTTGCCCTTTGTGGTCTTTGTGAATTTTATTGATTTATGTTTTTTCCTTAGACTGGCTATTCTTTTGTGATGGCCTAAATAAAATATCTGTAAGCAGGCTAGAAATAGGGATTTCAGCATTAATAGGACTCAGCCCTGTTTTATGATTCCGTTTAATTTATTAGATGATTGTACCCTCATCAAAACTTCCATGAACTAGATTTTGTGTGTGAAGCTTTCTTTGAGTATCGCAATTCTTGTTTGAATTTACTATTCCATCGCAGGTAATTCTGCTGATATTGGCTGCAAATGCCGCGGTGGGGGTGATTACGGAGACGAATGCTGAGAAGGCTCTCGAGGTAGTTTTTATGCTACGGTTCAAGTGATGACTTATTTGCAGATACAAATCAGATATCCTCCAAAATCAATTATTTTTATATATAACAGAACAAGGGTACTAAAGACTCTAATGTGCTGAAATATTATCTTAAGCTTAGATCGTATTGTGGTTGCAAGTTGTAGCATTTGCTTATCTATCTCGTATGTGTTCTCTTTGTCCTGTTGTAGGAACTACGTGCCTACCAAGCAAATATAGCTACAGTGTTGCGGAATGGTACTTACATAATTTGTCGAGTGATTACTTTTACCTGCAAAAATTACGCTGAGTGTTTGTCTTTTCAGCTGTTTTTAATTTTACAACAAACTATAATTTAAATTGCTTATCATCCTTATTATGCTGTTGATTATCTCCTCTAGAAACAATGTATCTTGTGTAGCATACTTTTCTTCTACCAAGTCAATAGCTTATTGCGTCAAGCTCACAATTGTCTAGGTTGTGTCTAAAATGGCAGTTAATGACATTAAGATTTAGGTATTTAAAAATGTTTCTGCGCACTTCCCTTTTTGTTTCTTTTTTTCCTTTGGGCTCGGGACGCTGTTCCATTTTTCGGATATCTGCAAGTTTTGTCTAGGTTGATGGCATTCTAATATGTATCTAATGGCAGGGTGCTTCTCTATACTACCAGCAACAGAGCTGGTGCCTGGCGACATAGTTGAAGTAACTGGTATGTGTACTCTATCTCACCTAAATGCAGTTTTGTAGAAATGGCTTAGACTTTGCTAAATTCATAGAAGGCTGCTTTTCTTGATGCGTGCATGCTAAACAGTGGGCTGTAAGATTCCAGCTGACCTGAGGATGATTGAGATGTCTAGCAATGAATTCCGAGTTGATCAAGCAATTCTGACTGGTATGTTATTCTGTTATTCATAAGGTCTTATAAGCGTAGCCACAAGAACCATATATGCCAGTTGGTGATTAGTACAACATCATGTCAACCCTTATCTCCACCGATTAGTGAACAGGCATTTTCTTATGACATTATAGTTTCAACAATATTAGTGGCTCTTTTTCATGTGATCACTTACAATGCGCTATCTTCATACTCTCACTACGAATTATTTTCCCCGGAAATTACAGGTGAAAGCTGTTCTGTGGAGAAAGATGTTGACTGTACGTTAACAACAAATGCTGTCTACCAAGACAAGAAGAATGTTTTATTTTCGGTAGGAGTTACTCATACCTGTATTAGCTTATTTTTCTTTTACCTAGAGATCTAGTGCTACTTCATGCGTACAGCTTAAATGGCTGCGTTATTCTTATTTTTCTCTCACTATTAGAATTTAGGGTCTACAACCCGTGTAGTCACTTATTTCTGGTTCGAGTTACTTCTTTATCTCTTTTTAAGTTTAATTTGGTAGAATTTATAATGACTGCCAGGGAACTGATGTGGTCGCGGGTAGGGGGAGGGCTGTTGTCATTGGAGTTGGTTCAAACACCGCGATGGGCAGCATACACGATTCTATGTTGCACACAGATGATGTAAGCTATCAATATTCTTTCATTCCTATCTGGAAATGCACCATGTGGACTATTGATATGCTTTCTTACCGGTCTGAACTCTCTTATATAGGAAGGTTTTAGAACTTATATTGTACCTTCGATTGCATTAATTTTCTTCTTGTAAATTGTTTGATGCTTTGTGCTTTTGGCTCGGTAGACTTATTTCCTGCTGTATAGTATAGTTTAGGCATTGTTCTTTTCCTCCTCATAACTAAAAGGCTTTTCTCTCTTACTTGTAAATGCTACTGTCACAGGAGGCAACTCCATTGAAAAAGAAGCTGGACGAGTTTGGCAGCTTTTTGGCTAAGGTGAAAACTTTTTTCCTTTTTGAATGTTTAGATTTTCACGTTTGGAATAGGGACTTTAATTACAAGACTGGATGGAGTTGTATTTCCGTTGGATGTCTAATTCTCTTAGCTGTCAGCATTTCTTAGTTGTGTCTAAGAAGTGTGAGTGAGTTTCAAAAAGAAAAAACTTTGTCAAATGACTGGCGTGACAGAGATCTCTTACAGGGATTATAGTTGGCTAATTTCATTAATATATGTTTTTCAACATAACTTGAAGTTCTCTCAGATTATATTAGCCCCTGTTCTGTGTGTATAGGTTATTGCGGGGATTTGTGTACTTGTGTGGGTTGTCAACATTGGTCATTTCAGCGACCCTTCTCATGGTGGATTTTTTAAAGGCGCAATTCACTATTTTAAGGTAAAGAAATTTGTTTTCTTCTTATGACATACCCAAGTTCTGGTCCATGTATTATTACCCCGTTATTGTGATGTAAATCCAGAAGCATGTAATCAGATCCTTTATACCAGCTTAAATTATGCCATATATGTATGGTTTGGTGACAGGATTGTTGCTTTACATTTATTTTTCCAGATTGCAGTTGCCCTTGCTGTTGCAGCTATTCCTGAAGGACTTCCTGCTGTTGTTACAACGTAAGTGTTCACTAATTCCATTGTAAGCAAATAGCAATATTAGGAGAAACGCAATTGGTAGTTGAAACTTAAGATGATTTCTGCGGAATGTTAGTGATATCTTGGAAACAAGGAGTTGCCCAGAGAAGTAGCTGACTCTTGTGATCAGCAAATTACTTTTTTGTTTCAAGTTTCAGCTTGCTTTAATGTTGGTTGAGTCTGAAATGCTTTGCAAATAGTCATCTTCCACGTTAGGGGGCTACTCCTGGTTATAATATTGTGGCTTAATTGGTTATGTGCTTTCACTATCTAGGTGTTTAGCTCTTGGAACAAAGAAAATGGCTCGTTTGAATGCCATTGTACGGTCATTGCCATCTGTCGAGACGCTTGGTTGCACTACTGTAATTTGCAGTGATAAGACTGGAACATTGACAACCAATATGATGTCGGTGTCCAAGGTTAGCATGTTAAAACTCAGTGCTCGAGCCTGTTAGTCAAATGGAGATTTCAGGTCTAATTAAGAAGGATTATCATTATTGCTTGCAGACCTTGAGATTTTGTAAATAACTAATTGCAACTACTTACATTCTTGCATATAACTTTTCTCTTTGTGGTGTCTCAAATAGAAGATTTGAATAATCTTATTCTTGTGCTTGTATGTCAGATATGTGTAGTCGAATCTGCAGACCGTGGTCCTATGATTAATGAATTCAATGTTACTGGGACAACTTATGCACCAGAAGGTACTGTCTTTGACAACAATGGGCAGCAGGTAATTATTACTTCTCATATGAACTATGTAAGTAACCAACTATTTCATACATGACACTTGTGAATATGACTGGTAGTTGCTTTACCTACATGCTCACAAACTAATGCAACTACACAAGGACAGCTGGACCGGAAAATTTTGCCTCAGGATTGATTAATAATGCAATAGAACCTAAAAATTGACAATATTTGAGGAAGGAGAGGGAAAACTAATAAACTTACGGTTTTTCTTCCTTCACTTTTTGTATCATACTTGTAGAAGAACCATGGCGTCTTTCGTCTTTTATCCTTAATACATTTTCTCGTATTTTATATTCCTCATTCTTCTCCTTTTTAAATTTTTTTTTTCATGGAGTTCCTTTCATTACTATCATCTTAATCATTTTCTCACAAATGTCAATGATTTGTCATCATGGAAGATTAAAGACGAAAACTCTATAACAAGCTACAAACTACACGAACATGCCTTGTAACAACACACAACATTGCTAAGATAAGATGCTCCCTTCTTTTGCAGCTTGACTTCCCTGCTCAGTCACCTTGCCTTCATTATTTAGCAATGTGCTCATCACTGTGCAATGACTCCATTTTGCAATATAACCCAGACAAGGATTCTTATGAAAAAATTGGAGAGTCAACTGAAGTTGCTCTTCGAGTTCTTGCAGAAAAGGTTTGTGTTCCTGTGAATTCTCTTTTTAACAGATTTTTTTTACGTAACAAGAAACGTCATGGAACATAACACTGTTTTTCTTAGGCCTGATTGTTAGCATCCATTTCTGGTCATCTTACAATAGACCTGCACAGAGGTTGAACTTACTAAGTCTAAAATATCTGAAGGACCGTCCAACTTACCTCTGTTGCTTATATTCAGGTTGGCCTCCCTGGTTTTGATTCAATGCCTTCTGCTCTGAACATGTTGAGCAAGCATGAACGTGCATCATACTGCAACCATTATTGGGAAAACCAATTTAAAAAGGTGTGGCTCTAGTAAAACTAACCTGTTATGCTGTGTTGGTCGTCGTTTTACATGCAAAACAAGTTTATATTTTAAACAATTCATAGGAATTTAGTATGAGTAATTGATGGTCATCTTTGTCCTAAATCTTTACAGGTTTATGTTTTGGAGTTTACACGTGACCGGAAAATGATGAGCGTCCTATGTAGCCATAAGCAAATGGATGTAATGTTTTCAAAGGGTGCTCCAGAGAGTATAATTGCTAGGTGTACTAAGCTTCTCTGCAACGTTGATGGCTCTGTTGTTCCTCTTACTGCTGCTGCCCGTGCAGAGCTTGAGTCGAGGTTCCACAGGTTAGACATCAGCTCGTTTGATGAGAGTTGTTTAAATTTTCTAATTACTTCATGATGGTTATCTTTCGATACTTGTAGTGTCACTTCTTATGGATTATGTTACTAGATTTGAACGAAGTTGTTGTTCCAATTTCTAACCATGTCTCTCTCTCTGCAACAGTTTTGGAGATGAAACATTGAGATGCTTAGCATTAGCATTTAAAACTGTGCCCCATGGTCAACAAACTATTTCCTATGATAATGAGGACGACCTGACGTTTATTGGGTTGGTACGCCTTTCTTTCAAATATGATGGATTCAAATGGGTTTACTGAATATTCGTCATTTTCCTTTCACTGTTGAAGACTTGCTCATCTTGTGCTTCCTTTGAAGGTGGGAATGCTTGATCCACCAAGAGAAGAAGTGAGAGATGCTATGCTTGCGTGCATGACTGCTGGGATACGTGTTATAGTTGTAACCGGGGATAACAAGGTACTAGAAAACCGAGCACATGTGGTTTGTTGATTTTCTCCATCCTTTTGGTGCGTACTTTGATTAGCATAAAACTTCAGTCCACAGCGGAGTCACTGTGTAGAAAAATAGGGGCATTCGACAATCTGGTCGACTTTTCTGGTCTGTCTTACACCGCTTCTGAATTTGAACGGCTTCCAGCGATGCAGCAAACTCAAGCATTGCAACGGATGACACTTTTTTCCAGGTATTTGTTCATACTTTTCTTTATTAGATAGTGTTTTTGAAAGCAAGGAACTGAAATGTTTAATCATCATGCGTATTTCTGGTTCGTCTCTAATGTTCGACTTATGGTCATTTATTAGAAACCATAATTTTCTGCGTGTAGGGTTGAACCTTCCCACAAAAGGATGCTTGTTGAAGCCCTACAGAACCAAAATGAAGTGGTAATTGCCCGTTTTCTAAGTTGTCATTCATTACATTTCTTTTTTTAGTGGCTTTGTTTGAAGTGTTTATAGTCGTTAAAATTTTTACTTATTAAAGAAAAAAGTTCGTGCTTTTAAACACATGAACCTTGTTCTCCTAGGTGGCAATGACTGGTGACGGCGTCAATGATGCCCCTGCATTAAAGAAAGCTGACATTGGGATTGCCATGGGTTCTGGAACAGCTGTAGCAAAGGTATCTACCTTGTTTTTGTTTTCGGTTAGCATCCTGTGATTTGATGATTTTTTTCGTACTCTAAAAACTTATTATCATCTTTAAAATCATAGTCATTATCTGTTGTCCATGTCCTTTTCTCTTGATCTCTTCCTCTCGTCCTGACTCAGTAATCCGTTGACATGGGAATCTTGTCCTCTATCTTTTTGGTCCTTACACAGTCGTTTTTTCTTTTTTTTTTTTGCAATTAAAAACGATAAATATAGTGAACGAAATTTCAGGTTTTCGCCGTTGTCATAGTAGTGGTACAATACAATGTGACTGCTATAGACAATTCTTAGGAGCTCGGTGACTAATACTGTACTCATCATTTCTTCAATAAAACTGCCTTTGCCCAAGGTTGATATCTCTATGCTCTTCTGCGTTTAACCTATTTTTCTCTTATTGTTTCTGCATTCCAGAGTGCTTCAGATATGGTTTTGGCTGATGATAATTTTGCTTCAATAGTTGCGGTATGTTTTTGTTTTCTTCCATTTTTATGGTTATTCCTTTATACTTGATTCTGGCATACACTTTGAGCTGTTGAGTTTTATTTGTTGAAGACGAACACGAAAAGATTGCTAAGAGTATTAATCTAGGTAATATAAAAGATTGAGTGCCTTTATAATTGGATTCAGAGTTAAACACTAAAGAAAATCTGAGTAGTGAACTTCTGGGATATAGCTCTTCTTGTTAGTAATGATGGTTAAAACTTTCAAATGTCAAATAGATTGGTATCGGAACTAAAATATATAGAAAGGTAATTTGGATATATATAAGAAATTAGTCTTGTATGACGTGTATCAAACTATGCAAATCTTAAATAACCATCGTCCCCATGTCTAATATTAAAAATATTGCAGTGTCTTCGTTAATGCAACTCCTAAGCTGTTTCTCTTCTTGACAGGCTGTTGCAGAAGGAAGGGCTATATATAATAACACGAAGCAATTCATTAGATACATGATCTCTTCAAATATAGGGGAGGTGGTCTGTATATTTGTGGCAGCTGTACTGGGAATCCCTGATACTCTGGCGCCTGTGAGTTTGTTAACCCTGAAGTAACTTTGTCCTCTCAATGAAATCTCCAGTCCAATCACTCCAGATTTGTTATACTCTTATCTACAAAATTTACTTTTTTAAAGTTTGTCTAAATCTATGATTGTTATGGTAAAACAAATTTGCAGGTTCAACTTTTGTGGGTCAATTTGGTGACGGATGGATTGCCTGCCACTGCCATTGGATTTAATAAACAAGATTCCGATGTTATGAAGGCAAAACCCCGAAAGGTAGCAGCTCTAACTGTACAGTAACAACTCGTAGAGTTAGGTTCATGGAGAGAAGTAACTAAAAATAATTCTGTCGCATGGGTTTCAATGATGATATTGTCTAGGCTGTAACTTGAAGAATGGACATAAAAAAGCCCTCATTAACGACTTCCTGTAGTGTGCTAATTTCTTTTCAAACTGTACTCAGACCTTGTATACTCATTTTTGCTCTATTTGCTGTTGAAATCCAGGTTGGTGAAGCAGTGGTCACTGGGTGGTTATTCTTCCGGTATTTGGTTATCGGAGGTAAGATAAAAATGATGGCTCTGTAACTTCAAACATTTATCCATCAAAACGACCTATTTGCTTGACTTGTTAATCTTTCTTTGCAGTTTATGTCGGTTTGGCAACTGTTGCTGGCTTTATATGGTGGTTTGTTTACTCTGATGGTGGTCCTAAGCTTACTTACAGTGAACTGGTTAGTTTTAATCTCCTGCTAAATTTTACATATTATTTCATCGTTGAATGTGATTGTTTGTACATTGTTCACCATTCATGTGTGTCAACCTCCGCATTTTCGAAGTTATTGCCCAAGTTTCTGATCATACACTTCATATCCAACGTTATTGTCTGTAATGGAATCTCTTTTCACTATATTTATTTGAGAATGAATAATCTCATTTCAGATGAACTTTGAAACGTGCGCACTTAGAGAGACAACATATCCATGCAGCATATTTGAGGATCGGCATCCATCGACTGTGGCAATGACAGTACTTGTTGTTGTAGAGATGTTTAATGCTCTCAATAACCTCAGCGAAAATCAATCTCTTTTGTAAGTGTAGCTTCTTGCTTTATTTCCTTGTTACCGGCTTATTTCTGTTATGATTCGCGTCAGCATCATAGAGTTGTACTGCATCAGGGAGTCTTAACTATCTCAAACAATATAATGCTATGTATAGACTATAAGTGGTGGAGTGTCATCCACGAACAAAAATTGGATTATGCAACTTGACAAGTTTGGTACGTGATCGTATTAGCTCGACTAAAGATGGGTATGTGATTGCAGGGTTATAACCCCAAGGAGTAATTTATGGCTCGTTGGTTCAATTATCCTGACCATGGTTCTGCACATATTAATACTATATGTTCATCCACTGGCAGTCTTGTTTTCTGTAAGTTTCCCCTCCTCCACAAAAACTGGCGTACCCAATTTCTTTTTTTCCATCTCATGTTCACTGCCTTATAGGTCACGCCATTGTCCTGGGCCGAGTGGACTGCCGTTCTGTATCTTTCATTTCCAGTAAGTAATTTCGCTTTTAGCTTCTTCTACATACTCTACTAGAACTCTCAATGAACCAACCCTCACAGTGGAACCTTACCTTGCCATAGACCACCTTAGTTCTCATATCATATGGATGCAAATGTGTTAAGGAAAAGTATGACAGTAGGCGAATCTTTTGAGATACGAGATGAATTTTTTTCCCCGAAAATGATCAGTTAATATGAATCTTTTCTGTAGGTTATCATCATCGATGAGCTTCTGAAGTTCCTCTCTAGAAATACCGGTAATGTTAACTACGCTTATTCAGTGGTTTATCATACCTTTTATCGTTTCAACTGAACTAAAAGTCAATACAGAGGCTCTAAATGTTGTCCATGGACGATGAGATTTCTGAACTTGGTCGAGATGCTGATGTGTTCTTGTGTGTTGTCAATGTAGGCATGAGATTCAGATTCAGATTCAGGAAGAGTGATTTACTCCCCAAGGACCGGCGTGACAAGTAGGACAAGAGATGGCCTCTTTTTGGCTTTATAGATACAGCGAACCCACAGGAAAGTGACTCTTGGGAGATTCAAATGCAATCCAAAAAGCTCCAACACCATAAACCATAAGACTCTTTCGCTTTTGATCTACTTTTTAATTTATTTTGTTGTACCAAATCACAGTGTATTATTAAATCAAACAATGTCTACTGCTCTTTTTCAAGTGATGTGTATTATGGTTGGCAGATTTTTAGATTTCCGTTAGCATCCCATTCCCAACATTTACAGTTTCCCAAGTCAGTTTCAATCTAAGCAGCGGATAGTTACAAATCATGTCACAAGAGATAAAAAGATAATAATACTCTAATTTTTTATTTGAATAAACAAACGTAAAGATATTTTAATTTGGTATTTCACCGTGTTCGTCATAGTGTCGGGCCTTTGGTGAACATTGAATTAGGGTTTCATGACTTGTACACCAAGAAAGAAGATTCTTGCAAATTCTCTTCCTTTTCGGCTCGAGAACAGGTTTTAGCAGAAGTCAAACGGCTTCTTGAATTCTACGGTACCGGAGAAGAGGGTCAAGGTGCAGCTCCTTCTCTCCTCAGTGCTTATGATAGTGGAAAATAAAATCTGAGATTGATTCGCTTGCCAGCGGTATTCGACGATTTCTCTCAGTCCGTCGTGCTCCGGATAAATTTGACCGGAGTCCTCGCTCTCCGTCTGTCTTGTCCAGTACTTGAGATCTGTGAAATCTCCGATTTTGGAATTGAAATCACAGATGCCGTTACTCTCGGATCGTATTCGGAAGGAGCAGGAGCGGCAAGCCTACCCTGGAGATGGCGGAGGAGAGCCGTCTGTCGCTATAACCTCTCTTGGTGGTGGTGTAGAACAGTCGTCTCTCCCAGAATCATCTCTTGATATCGTGTAAGATAACTCTTTTTTTCTTCATCTCATATCTTAAAGGAGTTTTGTGTCTACTCTAGTTGGTTTATCTGTTCGGGACTCGTTGCGTTTGTACTCTCTACATCATCTGCTCGTTATCTCTGTCTTTGTTCCAGCCCTGAAACAGAACCAGCAGAGACCGATTTTGAAACAGCAAGAGAGGAGGTACCAGCTTTTCCCCAAGGGACCGATTTTTCACATCTCAAAACTGCCATCCGGGACGAACTGGTAAGTGCATGCGATGTTGAATCCATTCTGATCCAAAATCCGAATAACCACAAAATCAAAAAATTCCGTTTGTAAATAGATGATGGCATATAGCGGGCATCGGGATGCTCTGCTATGCGCATTACACGATTGCTTCGAGAGTGTTCTTTCCGGAGTATCATTTCAGTGGGGTGATATATTCAAGGAGCCTCTTTCCTCCAAGCTGTTTGATGTGAGCCATTTCATATTGATGAAACTTTCCTCTACTTAAAAGAGGCTCATATTCGATAAGCCTCTTTCCTCCAAGCTGTTTGATCGATTGTTTTATAAACAGGTACCTCATTTTCCTCCAATTTTTTCGCCCGAAGTTTGTTGTCTGTAGCATTTCCATATAGCTTAGTCGAGGATTTTGTTTTGCGGTCGTATAGTTATATTGTAGATTCTGCGTTTAACCGTCCTACCAAGTGGCCTGACGAAGCTTATCAGAAGTCTCGGGTAAGTTCCGGAAACCCCCTCATCGGTGTCTGTGTGTTTGACCTAACTCCATTATGTTGTATTTTGTTTTACGATCAGGTGTCTACGTTTTTCGCATTAGCAACGATACTGCGTTACTCACCTCATAGTTTGGTCGTCCACTTGTCGTCTCTGGAAAAGTTACAGCGTTGGTATCAAAAACGGGGCGTGGGTACTATCCCGCTTACAGTTTGGATGATAGCTCAGGTGAATCAATGTGATCCCTTGTTGAACTTTGAGCCACTGATTCCAGCTCATTCAATGGAGATGTTGCTGCGGCTTAGATTCCCTGCAAGCCAAGAGGTCTCTGCAAGCAAAGAGGTATTGGAATTTACAAAACAGAAACCTTAGATGGGTTTGGTCGATTCTGATCACAACCGTATATGCGCACAGGCTACGAGGGTTGCGAGAATTTATAAAGAGTTGAAGGACGTGGCTCTTGAGGGCAAGGGTAAGGGAGAGCGTAAGATTAAGGGTGCACAACATAGTGAGGAAGCCATTCAACAGATGTTCGCTGTTTGTTTGAGATTAGCTAGAGAAGAAGGTATGCGTCACAAACAACAATCTTGAACATAGTCAAGAGTTTTTAATCTGTTACACTACTTGTTGCAGGAAATCCTGATTTAGCCAATGAAGCTGCATCAATCGCAATCTTGTCTCTGAAAAAAAAAGTTGGTCGCTGGGACTCGGAGCAACAGTTTCTGTTTGAAAAGGTTGTTTGCTGGGAGCACTGGTACGATATCTGTAAAGAGAATGTACAAGTTAGTGTTGCTCTTCTCAAAACGCTTGTAGAGAATTGGAAGGATCATCAGATCCGCCCATTCATTGGACATATGTTCACTTTATCTTTGAGAATAGCTGGAGAAGAAGGTATTGACTAGTAACCGAACGAAACCTCTTGATGGGTTTGATCGTCTTGTCTTATCCGAATAGAGTTTGTAATATATGTTACCGTTGTTGCAGGGGACCCTGTTTTATTAACCAAGGAAGCTACTGCAGTCGCTATCTGGTCTCTGAACAAATTCTCTGTTTGCTGGAAGCTCTGGGACAGACTCTGTGAAGAGGACCTAGAAGCTAGTGTTGGTCTGTTAAAATCGATTGTAGAGAAGTGGAAGGATAACTCCCTCAAACTATCATCATCAAGCAACAAGGCATAGAAACAATTCATTCGACAGATATTCACTTTTTCGTTGAGATTAGCTGGAAAAGGTATTATTAGTAAGTAACAAACAAACAAAACCTAACCCTTGAATCGATCGATGCTTGAGTAGTAATCTGTTACCGTTGTTGCAGGAAATCCTGATGTTGCCAAGGAAGCTGCAGCAATCAGTATCTGGTCTCTGACCGAGAACGTTGTTGTTTGCTGGAAACACTGGGACAATATCTATGACGAGAACATAGAAGCTAGTGCTGCTCTTCTTGAAATGCTTGTAGAGAAATGGAAAGATTATTCCGTCAAACTGTTATCATCACCCAGTGATACTCTCACTCTGAGTGAAACTATCAAAAGCTTCAGGGTAAAGGTAAATAAATGATGATGCCTCCTCCTCCTACTCTTGTAAGCACTTGTGATTTCATATCTGACCTAAACCCGTGATGTGATGTTTTTTTGTTTTTTCTAGAACGAACAAGCCATCCCTGAAAGAGGAGCCTATGCTTGTTTTTACAAAGTATCTGACGATGGTTCTTTTCATAAAGTAGCTGACAAGTCCTGCAAAGTGATATTGAGGAGACTCATAAGCACACGCATTATGACTGCTGCTGTTACTGCAGGAGTTCGAGTGTTTGGTTTTTTTTAATAAATAGACACGCGATGGTTTTCGTTTTTATATAGTCACTCATTGGTTTAAAATGATTTTAATTTGTTTGGCCACTGGAGACAAAATACAACAATAATATAAAATAGGAAAAGTTTACAAAATACGATAACCCATCAGCTTTCTGTCAATCATATTATTAATTGGCAAACAAGTTGGGCTGTGGTTGAGAGTTATTGTGGTTGATTATTTTTTGCCCCTCATATGAAAAGACTTTAATTACCCTTAATGAAAATTAATACTTTTAATAAAAATTATTAAAATTATAAAAATCATCAAATAATCTCTATCATATGTCGATAACATAGAAGCCCTAAATAATCTCTCACCCATTCAACATTATAAAATATTTTTATTTAGAATCTTTAGGTCACGCTACTTTCTCTCATCTTAATTTATTTTAACAATCCTTAATAAAATTATTAATTAAATTAAACTATGCGATTGGTTTGGTTTTGAAGCGGTTTTGTGTTATTTAATATCGATATGGTTTGGTATGTTTCAATGGATCGATAAATGATATGTGACTTGGGCCATTATGTTTACTAAAACCCTAAATTATAAAACCTTAAATTATAAATTATATATAAATGCCTCTGACCTGTTTGAGTATTTATGTTATATCTATGGTCTGGCCGTTGTGTTTCTTGGGAAGACAGCCGTGTTTATGTAACATGGCTATGGTAATCCGTCTTATTTATTTTCTCGTAATCTTTAATTATGGTTTTGTTGTTTCGTGTGTTTGGTTTAAAGTTTTGGTGTGCCTTCAACTTTTTGTTTAAAGGTTTTGGTCGTAGTGGTTCTGAATCATGTGTTTTGTTTTACTTAACTTTTTGATTAGGTGTCGAGAACATAGAGAGAAAAAGAATCGGAAGGAAAAACTTTCGAAAAGTGATTCAAATTTGTTTGAGAGTCTGTATTTGTTTGTTTAGTTTGATCTAATCTATAGCCAATCGAAAAAGAAGCTGAATAGGAAGAATATGAGGAATGAAGCTGAAGTAATTTGCATAAAAGGTATTTACTACTTTATATCTCTCCCCGCTTAGGCTTGATCATTATGTTTCGATTACCAATCTATTATCTATTATGTTATTTCGTTTCCCTATTGTCTGTTGATATCTTCCACTCTTGGAAGCATCAGATAATGTTTACTTTCTATGTTTTTTCATATATTTAGTTCATTGCTTTCTTTTAAATCTTCATTTATTTCTATATTATGATATTTCTTTCGCTTTGCTCTAACAAAAGTTGTATTATATCATCGTGAGTATTTAATTTGGTTTTTCTTTATGTGAGTTCATCTTAGTATTTATAATTTAAAAAGATTCTGTTTGCAATTATATCACCATGTTCTATAATGAAGTTTTTAAATTAGTATAGAAAATTCAAATCTGATTTGAATTTCTTATTTTGTAAAGAAAGACCTCTCACTTGATTTGCTGCTAATCTTCGCGCCTCTCTTCCTCGAACTTCAGTTCATGTTTTTTATCTCTCCATTAAACAGAGTTGTTGAAAGTTAAGTGTCAAGGGCAGATACTAACAAATCACTAATCAATTAATCATTAGTTGACGTTTTGTAATATTTGTTCGCATAATCCCGACTCAAACTATATTATCTGATCTGAAATCTTTTTTTAGGTTGCATGGTGGGATAGTTCTTTACTCACAAAAAATATAATTAGTGAATATTTGATTTATGTTCAATACCTTTGTACTGTGTTTTGTTTGATCATGACTATTTTTTAATGTGTGTTTTGCTCTTTTGATTTGATGGTTATTCGTTATTCATGATGTTTTCTCGCATAAACCTGATTCTAAACAGATTTTGTGATTTAAAATGTGTGTTTCCCATTATTTGGGAATGGAATGTCAAACAGAATGTGGAAAAATCGGTGGAGCATGCAAGTGAAATTGTGATTTGTTTCTTTGTTTCTTATTGTTTTTTACTCACTTTCTAATTAATTCTCTCTGTTTCATTTGGTCAGTCATCACTTTCTAGGCATCGAACATGATCATGAAAGATGTGGTTGCCTCCACGCTGCTCTCCACTGGTTTGTTTGCCACTACGTTCACAAGCTGAGGTGGCAACCCGATTCAGACACTTTTGAGGTTTATATGATGACTTGGCTTGCCACATTTACTCCAAAGACACTGAAATTCTCAGACATACGTTATCGAGACACGTAAATGCCGTTAGTGAGATTCAAAGTGGAAGGGAATTACTACTTTTTGGATGCAGAGCATAGCTCTATTAATCTATCGTAATGAGAAGGTTTTTCTCATAAGTGCAAGATTAAGAGGAAAGATAGGAAAATAGCCTTATTTTTTATCAGGAAGTGTAATTAACTATATAGTTAAAAAATGTATATAAAATTTTGGTTTCTTGATCGAGTTATTTATTTTGTTCTCTCTGATTTTAAACAATTAGCATGGATATCAAAATCTGATTGCCACTCTTAAGTTTCGTTAATTTAGGAATACATCTTCCCCAAATTCAGTTTTTTTTTATGCTTCCAATGAGGTTTGTTTGATTTATGTTTATCTTTGGTTTACTTCAACTATTGTTGAATTGTAAAACTTATAATCATTGGAGAAAACTAAAACTCAAAAAACAAGAACATCATATCATTAATTAAGAAGCAAATTGGACTGTATGTGAAAATTATTATGTTTAATAAGTTTGGTTTAAGAACAATTATACTAAATAACAAAAATTAATATATTTTAAGTAGTTTTGTCAAAAAAGTAATTAATCTTAATAAATTAAATATATATATATATATTTATGGTTATATCTTGATTTAGATTAATTCAAAAGTGATATTTTTATTTTATTTGTAAAGATAAAAATATATCTATATTTGTCGGATTATAAAAAAAAGATGGTATAAACCCCAAATTTTTATTCCTATAAATAGTGTAATGTATTTGCTACTTTATTTCATATCATTTTTTAAATTTAGGTTAGTTCATATAAATTTTGATATTTTGTTATTTGTTTGTTTTCTTTGAATTTGATAAAATAAAAATTCATAGAAAATTGACAAGTTATTAGATTATTTATTCATTTTGATGTTTTTATAGTACTCTAATTTTATAAGAATAATTTTCAAATTGTATGAAAATAATTTTCTTTTTTTCTTATACACAAAATTTTAGTATAATTAATTTATTATATTTATATCAAAATTAATGTATTAATAATATTAAAAGTGATTTATCTGCGTAAGGCGCGGGAGACCACCTAGTTAGTGGTAAGCACTAAGCACAATGCTTTCCTTTTTTTTTTTATTAATCAATAATCATCATATAGAATAAATTTAAAAAAGACTATATCAATCACATGATACATCAAAAAGTTGAGATGTTTATAGCAAAACAAACTAGTTTAATTTTTCAAGCCACTAAGATATTTTGAATAAAGAATATAACTTTGTGAGATTAACCACATAATTATTCTATTCTACCCTATACTCTATACTGATATTTGAATGTGAACTAGTCATCATTATGGTAAGAAAAATAGTAAAATTAATATCTGTGGAATTAAGCCACACAGACACTTTAACTAATATGTATATTCAAAATTAAAAATAGAAATGGTTTTCTTATATCAGTGAGACAGCAATATACACAATGCATATTGATATTTTCGAATATTCTCCAAAAACTTGTAAGAAACAGAGACTTGAAATGAATATGTTCAGACTTCAAAACTTTGACAAAAAACCAAATTCATATGTATTATCGTTAAACTTCCAATATAAACCAAACATGGATTCGAAACCAGAGTAGTTTATTCATGTTGTACAAAATCGAGCTAAACAACAATATCATAATCAATCCACAAATTACTAAAATCAAGCAAACGAACAAAAAAAAAACTAAAATTTGCTACCAGTAACAGCATATGATTTGCTACGGGGATACAAGAGATCAGAGACTTTCTTGGTCTTCTTTGTCTTCGGATTCACAGATCCTTCCTCTGCTTCTTCGTCTTCCTCTATCCTCGCCATGCCCACGCTCGAGCTCTTGGGCAACCCTCCTTGCTTCTGCTTCTTCTGCTGTTGCAGCTTCTCTTGTATAAACATGTCAATCTCATTCTTGTGCCCTAAACTCCTAACCGACGCGGCTCTCACTAGCTCGCTGTAATCGTCGCCAATCCCGAAATCGGTTGCTCTCCGGGAAGATGCGGAGGAGGAGAAGGCTGCGGAGGAGGAGCTCCGGCTTCTTGGAAAAAGGGTGGAGGTAGAGGCGGAGGAGGAATAATGAGTCCGAGCTGCGCAGCCGGTGATGCTTCTGACGTAGAGATCACGTGCCTTGCCTAAAGCTCTGAGAGGAGTTGAGATTATTCTCAAGAACTTGTTCTGGTTTTGTCCTCCGTTTCTCATGCTCTGTTTGGGACTTTTTGGAAAATGTTTCTGTGCTTTGTGTTTGATTGAAAGATAGGTTTGGTTTTTTGGAGTATGATGTGGTTTTTAAGGGTCAGAAATGTTGATTTATTCTTAAAAGTATTAAATTAAAACGAGTGCTAAAGGAGAAATAATTGAGAGAGAATCAAACGTGACTTTAAGGATTTGTTTTAGATTTTATTTTAAAAAAGTAGGTTTATGAAAATAATTGCCGAAAGAGTGTTGCATTCACTAAGGTCCCACTGATCGAAATTCAAATCATTAGTCGGAGTTTGTAATATATACCAGTAGTTTTTAATTTTCAATTTAGACCAGTAGTTTGTGTAGTATATATGATTCGAATTATACACTCACGAGAAGGCATTAAGAAGAAAAACTCTAAGATTTCATATTGAAATCTGCATAAAACAAAGGATAGTGTTGAGCACCTAATAGTAGTATTGGATAAGTCATTAAGATAAGAAGAATAACGCCGCCTTCAGTTTTCTTCATTGTTTTCGCGTTTTATTTTTCTTTGTTCAAATTAAAATGTCAAACAAATACGAATGTCATATGTACGGGTTAGTCAAAGTGGCAGATTTATCATCAGGTCGTCCTTTTTTTATTTTTCTTTTATTTGTTTCTCTCTTCTGATTTTTCTTATTCAAGTTATATATTAAGATGAGTAGGGGAAACTGTAAACTATATATCATTCCTTTTATATTATTATTGAAGACTGACTATCAATTGTATCATCTTAGAAGTTTCCTTAAACTTGATTGGTGGTCAAGGCGTTTCTGATTTTTACATCCTCACACTTGCTAATGATTTATAGTATAAGAGATAAAATGGCTAAAAGCTTAACACTTTTGGACACACAAAACATTATTAACTTCCAACTTCAAAATCCTTTCTCATTGCTACCAAACTTGTATACCTAATATATTTTCATTAACATTCTATTCTTTTTTTTTTTTAACACCCTTTCTCGTTGCTATTTCTTTATCATTTATTTTGTTTAAAAGGAAACGTGGAGGGAACACAAAAATATGGTTAGCGTGGCAAAGAAACGTTGATTGGGTTGGACTTATTGTGGGTATGGCACATCGTATTAGAAAAATGCTCTCTTGTGAAAGTTAGATAAGAACAAACATGTGGAGCCATGTCGGAAGTAAAACCATCGATGCTTCTAGAAACAACTAATATATTTAAAACACAACCTGCATATCCTTTTTGATTAATCAAGTAAATAATAAGATTTCAATGTAATATATATTATCAAAATTGACTTGAATGAATTCCATAAGTAAATGTGTGAGTTGATGTATTTTGCTACAAGAGACATGTTAAAAACTAAAATCTTCTGTCGTCATTTTTTCACGAAACTATCTATAAAAGGAAACTTATACTATAATCAATGTTTCCTTCTTATTTTATTTTATTTTTTTTGCAATTAGGCTTTGATTAAAAGAAAAAGACTAAAATTGTGGTTCGAGCGTTTCGAACTTGGAATATGAGGAACGAAAAAAAAGTGACGGTAGAGAATGTCGACAGAACCGTGGGAAAGATTCCAATAAGGTCGTTACTGTAAAGATATTCATTATCCAATTAAACCGAACCGAAGTAATATGTTCCTTGGAGAACAAAACAATTTGTTATCCAACTTGTCCTCGAGTTTTCTCTCTCTTCCAACTTCCAAAGCTTCTTAATTTATTGATTTTCTCACCTCTCCCCCACGCCAATTTCATTTTCATGCATCGCTATACCCTTATCTTCTTCTTTATCTGCTAATTAATTTATCCGTCTCCATTCATATTGAGGTCAATCCCAATCGCATTTTCGATTTTCAGATCAGAATTACAAACCCTAGATTCCTCTGTCTATCGTCCCTTTTTTAGTTTTTCTGGGTTTCCTGAAATCTGTGCTTTTTTGCAATTGGATTTTGCGAGTTTCAATTCAGTATTCTCTTGTTGAATGGACCTTCTTCGATTGGGGGAAAAGGGTCTCTTTTCACCTCAGAGAAGAAGGAAATGGCTGATTTTGATGGCGATTTCTGGCGTTTCTGGTTACGGAGTCTACAAGGTTTATCATTTACCATCTGTCGCGAGGAAAAGGAATCGTCTTACGAAGATCTTCGGGGCTTTCCTCTCCGTAGCCGAATTGATCTCTGACTCGGCCGAGACCATGAGCCTCGTGTCGCGAGACTTGAAGGATTTTCTCAATTCCGATTCCGATGAGATCCCCAACAGCTTGAAACAGATGGCCAAGATCACCAGGTCGTATGAGTTCACGGATTCGCTCTCTAGGGTTTCTCAGGCTGTCACCGTCGGGGTCTTTCGCGGGTACAACTTCGACCCTAGTAGCGTTGGCGGTTCAGGAATTGGATCGGAGCCAAGTGTTGTTGATAGAGTGATTGATAAGGTTTTCTCGAAGGCTGGATCTGGTTTCGTTTCAGTTGTAGCTGGTAGCTTTGCTAAGAATCTAGTTCTTGGATTTTACTCGAATGAGTTGGAGAATGGTGTGAAATGCGATTCTGATTCTTCAGAGACACCTCAATGGGTGAATCTGCTCTGTGATGATAAGTGTAGAGAGCTTTTAGCTGATTGCATCCAGAGATTTACCAGCACAGCAATCGCTGTGTATCTCGACAAGACGATGGACATCAACACTTATGACCAGATCTTTGAGGGCTTGACGAATCCGAAGCATCAGGATAGGGTCAAAGACGTTCTTGTTTCGGTTTGCAATGGTGCCCTCGAAACTCTCGTTAGGACGTCTCACGAAGTCTTTACATCTTCTTCAAGGTCTAACACTGTGATAGAAGAGATGGAAGAAGACGATCTCAAGATGAACGGTTCATCGAGGAGCAAGTCGGAATCAGTGGACGGGATCAAGAGTAGCGGGTGGGCCGAGGCTATCTCAACTACGTTGGCAGTGCCAAGCAACCGAAGGTTTATGTTCGATGTAACGGGGAGAGTAACTCTAGAAACTACAAGATCAATCATCGGATTCATAATGTTGAAGATGTTACAAGGGTTCAGAAAAAGTTTCAATGTGGTTCACGAAGAGGTTACAGACAGAGGACGCCAAGTAGTTGGATATGTTGGAGCCAAATCTTCTGTTATAGTCACAGTGTGCCTCGCCTTGTACCTGCACGTCATAAGCGGCTGTGTTCGTAACTCTCCCATAGGCGTAAGCCAGCATTTTTAGTCCGTCACGGATTCGATTCGTTGGATATATAAATCTATTGGTTAGGTACACGCAAAGGTTTATCAGCTTCCTTCTCATTATATTTGTTATAGTTGGAGCTGTGAATAGCGTAAGAGATTGTTTGTGTCTGTGTATGTGCACAAACTGATTCTTATATATATATAGATTAAAAAGGTTCTTGGAACATTGAAGTTTGAACTGATTCATAATCTCTTTACACTTCTTGAACAAAAGCATCATAGATCAACAAACCTGACTTCCATTTTCCGGTCCACACTTCATATAAACCAAATTGAAGCTTGGTGTCTTGGTTTATTGGTACCGTGGGACTGACGAAGATCTCAAATCTTCCATCGGTCTCATCTGGTATGTTAACCGGTTCTGTCGCGCCTTTAAGTTTCTTAATGTTACTGTTCACCGATTTGATCCTCTTCCAAACCGTCTTCCCTTTCTTCCCAATTTTGGCTGACATGAAAACCGGAGCTTGGTCCCATCCGGTTGCATCAGCTGTGAACGAGATTTTAAAACCGATTCGGTACGTTTTACCTGGCTCGACCTTGTCGAACGAACCGGTTACTTCTAACCAACTAACCTTCTTCAGTTCGGCAGGCGTCCTTGAAAACACCAAAGACTCTCCTCCAGTTTTTAAACACAGAAAACAACAAAAAAACGGTTTTATTCGGTTATGTTTAGTAGTAAGATGAAGGAGGTACCTGTCTTCGTTAGGGATGACCCAATACCGAGAATCACCTCCCCATATGAAATTAAGACCACTTGGCTTAAAAATCCATGCTTTTCTAACGATCTATAATCAACAAATTAGTTGATTTTTTTAGTTGCGATAAAATAACCAACAAATATAAGATAAGTGATGAAAAACCAAAATATTTTTTTTTTTAACTTATTACATCATGTTCCATGTTGGATTCTGCCTCGTAGTGAGAACTCTTGACAGCTTTTTGAGCAGACATTTTCTTTCTTTCTTCTTTGTTGTTTGTTTATAAAAGAACACTTCTCTTCAGCGAGCTTTATATAGAGATTTGTGTTTTTTTTTTCCCAATAAGGAAAAAAAAGGATTGTTACAGAAGAAGAATAAATTACGTTGGACCCAATGGTTTCTCTCAAATGCTCGTTTACAATTGCATATATGATGATAACAACCATGTAACAGGCATATTTCAATTGGACCGCTAAAGGTAAAGCAAATAGATTCTCAGTTTGTGGCTCTTCTTCTTCTTTCTTGCTAATCTGAACTTTTTATATGAGAATCAGACTGATCACATATCTACTAATTTTTTATTGGTTATTTAAACGCGATTAGTTCAACAGACTAGATGCTGTCGTTTTTGTGTTATCGGATCTTATTTCGAGTCGTTGCTACTTTGGAACACTTGAATATTAGACCATAAATCTGAAATCTTTTTTATTTACAGAAAAAGCAACTTTTAATGAAGCTTTTTAACGAGTTGTCCTCTGCTGTTTTAGATTCGTAATGGATAATGATGTTTCAGATTTCTATTCTAAATAACTTTCTTTTTCGCTAGTGGGCAAAATTCGATAAGAAAAAGAGAAGATAATCTCTTAACACTAGTGTTTAAATCACCTTTTACTGTACTTCCATGTCACATAATTTTGTCACGATGAAACATAAAAGTATTACGATATTTTTTGTAAATAATAAAGAAAAAAAAAACATGCCGTTTCACAACAGTAGAAAAAAAAATCACTGCCATATTCTCTCAGTCACATACCTTCTCCCAATCATCCACCACTTCTTCGCTGGAGCCTTCCACTGGTTGTTTACCGGCAGCCTTTGAACTGCTGCTCTCTTCTGTCTGAGCCAATGGCTCCAAAGCGGACGTGTTGGGCTTCTCTGGCTCCAGAACAGTCCATCGGTTAATCGAGGTGACCATTGGAGTGCTGCTCGTTGCTGCTGATCTCCACGCAGAGGCTTTAACATCAGTAGACGATCCTCCGATGGGTGAATCTTCAGCTCCCCATGAGTCATCACTCTCCTCAATCACTGCTTTCTTCCATGGATTTCCTTTCTGAACTTCCCACGATGAGCTTCCTGGTAATTTTCCCCATGCATTACCGAGTGATGGAGACTGCACGCCGTTCTGGACAACCACGGCTCCATGGTATACAGAACCGTGGTCCAGCCTCCTCATTGCCGTGGCGGCTCTCGCATGGTCGTGGAATACGGCTAGAGCGTTCTTGTCGTTCAGCCAAACAAGCTCACATTCACCCCCAAATCTTAGCACTAAGGCGCTGATATTCGCCTCCCTCGGGAGATCCAGTAAAGAAACCACAAGCCTAGGATCCATATCCACCAGCGGATCAAATGACGGTGGGTGAGGCCCGCCTACCGAGACAGCACCACCCCTAGCTCCAATGACCCGTGTTGGCGGTTTTGACTTCGACGTTACGTGGACCACTGTAAACCGTTTTGGCTCCCACCCTGCGTTGCTAACCGCTAGTTTCCACCTCTCAGCTAAAAGCCGAACTGTGTCTCGTTTATCCTTCTGCATCGGGCAGAAAACATGGAGCTTGAGAGCACTTGTGCTTACCCTGGCTTTCCCAAGTACCAGGAACTTGAACCGCTCTTCCACAGCCAGTACCCACTTCGGATCACGCCTGTATATGTCTGAAATAATCTCTGTCATAGCCGAATTCTCGCTGAAATGTAAAGAGTCCAGGTTTGGGGGAGTGATATCAAACGCATCTTGAAGAACCCGCTTACGCTCCAGCTTAGCACACTCATCATCACACGAAAGCTTTCTCTGCCCGATAGGGATCCGGTTTCCACTCGACTCAAGAGGCTGAAGCGGCGTTGGAAGCTTCTGCAAAACAGAGGCTTCATAGACAGAATCAACACTGAGATTGTTGGCACTTCTTCCTCCAGCATCACAAGGGACCGCCGCGGTTATACGACCACATGAACAAGTAATTGTGACTGGAAATTCACATCTTGAGTCAGGGCAAGGCTCAGAAGGATGGCACAGTGCTGCACAAGTGTGCCTACAATCTCTTCTAGGAGCACCACACGTCTGTCCACATGTTGCACGCTGACCTGCTTCAGATTCATTGTAACTGTCACAAGGCTCCGAGTGACAAGTTCTCACACAAGCATGCATGCCACAACGCCTCGTCTTTCCACAAATCTTGTTACATCTAATGTCTTTTAACCCACAAGGTATGTTTCGAAGAACCACATGACCACCAACGCATTTCTTTTCCACAGGTGCAGAACAAGGAGGGCAATCTCCAAAATGACATCCATGCGTAGCAGAATGGCCACACGGCTGAGGAATCGAGCATGGAAGTTGGCAGCTAGGTACGGGGGTCCCACATGGTTGTGGTGGAGGAATCGAAGTTCTTCCACATGCACATGTTAGGTCAGTGAATATCATCTCAAGACAAGGAGGGCAATGGCCACTGTGACATAAAGATTCACAGGAATGCTGCCCGCACCTTAGCTGCTTCCCACAAGGTAATTGGCAGACGTGTGGGTCCCAATCGCCAGATGGATCATTCTTCTTCGCGTTCAAGAGAGGGCAGCAACGTTCGCTACATCTATGCCTCCCACAGTTCTTCTTACGCCCACAAGGCTTCGCGCACACAAACTTATCCATCTCTGAAGAAGTTGTTATGTAGCATTCCACTGTCCTGGATGTAGACCCACACCGGCATTTCTGGTTGACTTGGACTAAACAAGGAGGGCAATCACCTGCATGGCACACCTCGTTGCAAGTATGTAACCCACAAGGAAGAACCTTTCTGCATATGTTTGAACAAGAAGGAATCGGGTCCAAGCAACTTCGCCTCATCTGTTCTTCTAAACGCGTTTTCCCACAATAGCACGTCTTAACCCTACTGGGAAGCAAGTCACAATCGCCGCAAGGTCCAGGATGGCAACCTTCGGAACAGAAATGATTACCACATCCAAGCGGCTTCCCACAGTTAAAACTACACGAGTACACACCATCTTCTGCTTTCAACTCTCCCTTCACATTCATATCTCCGCAAATGACAGTCTCCACTTTTTTCTCGCAGAAGCATCTGGCATTCACCAGTACCTGACAAGGATCACAAGGGCCAACATGACATGTCCTTTCACATCGATGACGTCCACAGTTGAGAAGCTTATCACAACACTGCCCACAAACAAGAACAGATCTCCGCTCAGAGCATCTAGTGGTGACCATCTTCTTACCACAAGGGCAACTACGAGGTGGAGCAAACGCCTTACAAGGAGGACATGGCCCGGGATGACACTGCAACACACAGACGTGAGGACAAAGATCCTCTACAGTCGTCTCAGCTGCTGCAAACTCTTTCTTCAGCGGCTTCCCACATGGCTCCCCGCATGAGTGTGGAGTCAGGTATGGATCAGAAGGTGGATCTTTTCTCTTCCCACAAAAGCACCGATAGCTTATCTCTTTCGATGATGTCAACTGTACTGATTGGCAGCCTGGACACCTCCAATTATCACCTTGATTCTTCTCAGCCAACAGATCAATCGATGTTGGTGCTCGAGCCCATCTCTTGATACAATGCATATGGAAGATGGAGTAACAGCTGGAGCAAGACCATATATTCGCCGACCGCCCAACCATGTCATAGCATATCATACACTCAATAGAACTCTTGACCAGCTTCTCCTGTATCTCTTGAACAAGCTGAGGCAAGTTTGGGTCTGTTAACACAATGTTCTCCTCCTTAGCCACCCTTTTCCCTTGATTCACAAACTGAGTCCTAGATGCAACTCTTTGGCGATTATCAGGCAGAGTTCCGGAAGCATTATTTCTTCTTTGGCGATTATCAGGCAGAGTTCCCGAAGCATTGTTTCTTCTTTGTCGATTAGGTGGAGGCGGACCAACGACGTGACTCCCTTGGTTCTGGTTACTCCTTTGGTGCTGGTTAAAGGGCGGACGAACAGAACCGTTATGCTGCCTTTGCAGATAAACAGGACGGGAAGCAGCACCAGCGTCAAGGCT